GGAAAGTAAAGGAGTTAAACGCCCAACCCTCCTACCAACCAACCGAGTAACCGAGGAGGCCTCGTGAACGGGTAACTGTTTAGGTTATCAATGTGATGAGGAAAGCTTGTGTACAGACCACTTCTGAATGGCATCAAAGAACCTCAGGCGGTCCTCACTCTGGCACGCTAGGCTGTACTCAAAAGGCCCTTGTTTCTGAGGTGTATGTCAGCTCTTAGTGTGTCATTGAACGGTACCAAGAATGGTTGCTCTATACACCGTTCCTTGGGTTACAATTTCTGAGATTTGATAATTAACTTAAGCTTCTTAATAAAAATTTTATTTAACAGTAAGCTTCTTGTTTAATTGGAGTCAGCCGGCATATTTACTGGTTCATTAAAGTGGGATATGAAAAAAATATTACACGAATAATGGTCAAATGATATATTACTATAAATTTAGGAACAACTGATTGCTCATGATTGACACTCAGTTATGATTGCGTTACGCTTTTCTAAATCAAAAAGGGCCGTAAAATGTCTGTTGCCTCGAGATTACCCGGAATTAATTGAGCATCATTAAAGCATGCAGAATTAAGGCCTCTGATGCCTGCTAGAAAATCGGCTTTTTCGTTATTTCCTTCTTTCATTATTGCGCAAGTCATTTATTGTTTATTTCAGCATGACGAATACTGCATGAAACTTTTAGAGTTTTACTGAGTACTCATTGAGGTTGCAGATTTGCTGTGTTCACAGAATATAGTCAAATTGAGTGCGATGTTAGCGTTAAATTTGAGTGTGTGTTTGGTAGTGGGGTTGTTGGCGACGGTGAGATCAGCGGCTGTGGAGTACAAGGAACCGCAAATTGAAGTGGACACCAGCAAGGACGTCGCAAACCTGGAAGAAATAAAGACCACGAATGTCGGGGGCTCCATGCCAGACAAGGACATGGAGGCCTCAGGAGATGGAGGCTCCATGCCAGATAAGGACATGGAGGCTTCGGGAGACGGGGGCTCCATGTCAGACAAAGATGTGTCGGAATTGAAGGTTTCTAAAAACAATAAAGAACTTCCAACTTCGTGTGATGAAAAAGGAGAATCTCCTATTACCGCCCTGGCTGACCTTGTGAAGGAACTCACGGAAGAAATTAAGGTTCTAAAAAATACTATATCAAACACTTGTGGCGTTAAAACTGAAAACAATTCAGATATAACTGAAGAAGTCGGAGAAGCAAGCAACGAAGACAAAGGCGCAAAATCTGAAGACAGCAACGACGAAGGTGAGTATATGTCTACACGGAGCGACTTGTGGTAAGATGACATGGGCAGTAAACCATTAATGGCTTACTTTATTTATTTATTATGATAGCAAGTGTGTCGTAAACGTCTACAGAAATCTCGACTGGCTGACTATTGTATATTAGACATGTACGAGTCTTAATTAATATACCAGTCACCACAGTTTTAAAATCGCCAATCAACGTTTAGTGGATTACTGCGCTTTTTGGAAGCAAATGTCACTATATTTTGTTGCACTGAAAGTTAATAAAAGTAGGAGTTTAAAACACGTTTGACATGTCTTTCGGTAGAATGTTGAATTCTTTGGTTAAGGTTTTATTACCTTTGGCTATGAATTTTCCAATTATATACGTAAACCTAATCTTTGCCCCCACAGAATTATCGCCAGTGACAAAAGATCAAGTCAATAGTCAATATAGTTACTCATAGCAGGTTTTAGTGTGAGAATACTTGTAACACTCGGTCAATTGCAATCAACATTGATCATTAAAATTCATTTAAATTGAATTCAAAGTTACTAACTGGGTTACTAGGTTTCTTACTGTTCACAGGGGCTGACGCGTTCGATTCCATGCAACGGAATCTCACCGATTGTTTCTTTTTCCCTAATTTCGATCATAAATGAATTAATTTCCGCACTGCCACGCGCCCAGTAACATCAAATTATAATCGCTAACGGCAGAGCAAATACAGACAATGACCATATCAATTAAATTATACTTGCTGGTCAAAATCGGTTGGTTTGATCGGGCAGATTAGCACAGCAAGTTTGGAGAAGTGAGATGCGCGTTCGAGACCCACAACGAGCTGTGAAAATTATGCGCGGAGTAACCAAAATTTCATTCCAATGCACTTCAACTGCAGTTCCTTTTGACTTTGCTGCAAATAAGGAACAAATTTGTTGATAAGATTCTGCTACATTAGTGCTACTAGACTTGTATATGTGAACACATAGAACATATAGAGGCATAATTACTAACACTGTGCCCTGCTCCTGGCTGTGTTATGCATCCATTAATGAATCAATCGATGTCAGTGTAATGCTGTATAGTTTCTTGAATAACAATTGGTGGATGGGAATGTGTAATAGGTGTATTGTAAATTCGGCGGTGGCTTTGTAGTAATACACCAGATTCTGAAAAGCGATGCTGAGATGTACACCAAATCTGCTGCTCGTGCTGATGTCAGTCCATTACCTTTGCTGCATTGTGTAAAGGAGGATCAGATGAATTAACTTCATACCGATGCAGGTGTTGGTGATTCTTTTACCATATGATTCACACAGAAAATTGTATGGGTAATATTGTCCAAAAAGCGAAGCACTTTTGGTACGTCACTCTATTGCGTCAGACCAAACCGGGTCAGGGTGACCCACTTAAGAACAAAAAAGGCATTGCTTTTAGGACAAGCTCACTCATTTTTCTGAATGTACTACCCATGTGATTGATAAGTGAGACCAACTAAAACAGGAAGCGCTGTAGCTCGTTGCTGTACTGCAAGCAATGCTGCCTGCCATGCTGCTGCCTAGACTTAATGCCTATCACAGCAATGATGCTGCAGTATTGATTGCTTACAGTCGAGTTTTGGCCTACATGAAGCGGCGGTGAAAAGTAAGGGCTAAGCAGCCAGCCCTTGGAATGAATGCGACGAAATTGTAACTTCATTGTCCCATGTTTTATTCATGTGGCAGCATAGATGGTGGCAATGCCACTTCTAATCTAATGGGATTCACTTCTAATGAAGGATCACTTAGCATAATAATCAATGAAAAGCACTTCTGTTGCATCCAACTTCTATACTTTTCTTCGTGATGCTATTCAAATATTCAAAAATTTGATTTGCTGCACACTGTATATATATAAGGTGAATTCCCTTTGATATAAAGATGAAAATATTGTTATTGTAATAAAAATTATTTACATGGTTGTGAAAATTATTTGCATAATTTTTGTGATAACTAAAAGAGAATACATAGATAACCGGTTTTTCCTGTATTTTTCTTATGTTGAAAAAATGCTATTTCTTATAGATTTAAGAGCGTGGTTTGAGCCGTGTTCTATATTCTGATAATTACACACGGTTGAACTAATTCAATCATGTAACAATATGTAGCCGTGGCAGTCAAGTGAGCAGCGCAAAGGACTACATAATGAGTCTCATAATGAGACTACATAATGAGCCTCATAATGAGACTACATAATGAGCCTCGATCATTATGAAACTACATAAAAGGCGTTGTGTGGGAGGAGGCGTTGCTGAAGTGCTTCCATTATCTCAAGTTCGCATAAACGCAAAATTGCGCATAAAAACAACCCACCGTTGTACAAAATTTAATAATGCAATGTTTATATACTAATAATGTTATATAACAACAGTACGCAATAATACCGTGATAACATTCTTAGTGTTAACGGAGTTAGTGAGCTTTATTAATTAAACGCATTAATTAACGCTACAGCACGTCATTCTAGAGTGATATCACGCCATCGCAAGTATTTGGTTCGTATCGCTGGTTTCGTTTGCGTATAATTTTCTGTTTTTGAGGATGTACAATTGTTCACTTGAGAACATAACTTTTAAATCCGTCTGGCTGCAATTTAACTATAAAAGTATCTACATAGCTCAATTTTGTATAAAATGTTTTCAATTGGACAATTGAATTGGACAATTCAATTGTCTATTATTTGGATCTATGTATGAAGATCATATCTGCCAACTACCTTAACTAAGTTATTTTTAGTTATTTAAGTTACCAACTACAAGCGGTAATCCAGCTCTCGATGATGCAATTTGTTAATTCATATATGAGTTGGTAATTCATAGATATTATTGATATATCATATATACCGTCCTATATTAATTTGAAGTAATTCTGTGACTAATTAATCCAACCTGTTATTAATTAGAAAATAAAGAAAGAGATATAACAAACGGATGCACATCGGTGATTTTCAGTCCGAATCGCACCGGCAGCTTGACTTGAGAAGTGTTCTGTGTTCGCTAAATGATGATAGAAATTATTGTCAACGTAACCAATGCATCAAATAGGCAATAATTTTCCGATTAATTGGTTAAAAGGAAGATTGGTTAAAAGGAAGATATGTCAATTTCGCAGATGTTAACGCATTGGACGAAAATTTAGTGTCATGACTGTTATCAATGCATGTTTGTATGTGTTATCAATGCATGTTTGTTTATCTAATTCCAGCATTTTTTCTTCTTTTTGTGACAGAATCCGGAGCGACCAAGGAAGAGCCGTCAATGGAGGATAAGGTAGATAACAAAGACGAAGAGAAGGATAAGCCTGACGAGGGGAAAGAAGACGAAGCAACGAAATGCAAAGACGACGCAAGCGATGTTGCTTAGCTAGAGACAGTGACCACTGAGTTACTTAGCTGCTTAGCTAGAGACAGCAGCTACTAAGTTACTTAGCTGCTTAGCTAGAGACAGCGACCACCTAGTTACTTAGGTGCTACATTCTCACTGAGAAAACTAATTTAGGAAGACATAAGCTGAAATAAACTCATTAGGCTCTCCTGTCGCATATCGTTGCGGCTGATAGGTTATTTACATTACGTACGGCGGTATGAAATCTTCAAAGTAAATTATCAAATGAAAACCATTGATATCACCATACCGCATTATTGTTACTTTATGATCAATTTATCCATATTTATTTCAAATTACTTCGTGAATGATAACAGTTATAATATTTTTGCGACAGCGGAGACGTGTCCAGCGCCGTTCCAGCTGCTGGCCGAGAGCTGCTACTACATCCAGACAGACCCGCGGGAGTGGAAGTCCTGGGGCGAGGCGCAGAGTTTCTGCCAGCAGCAAGCGGGCACCCTCGCCGCCCCACACCGCCCTAACCAGCTCAGAGACTACCTCAACACCTACTATTGTGAGTACCACCAGCTCAGAGACTACCTCAACACCTACTATTGTGAGTACCAGCTGCTCAGAGACTACCTCAACACCTACTACGGTAAGGACCAATATACCAGGACCACTTAAATGACCTTAGCTGAGAGTTAGAGGGGTCCACATTCAACTTACTTACTAACATAAACCATAAAAAATCAAATTCATGAAACGTTAATCCAAAACAAAGTTCTTATAAAACGCAATATTCATGGCTATGGTTATAATTTCATTAATTACAAGTTTTACTTCGCACTCGAGCAGTTCACAACAGCNAAACACCTACTACGGTAATGACCACCATACCAGGACCACTTATATGGCCTTAACTGGGAGTTAGAGTGGTCCACATTCAACTAACAGAAACCATTTAAAATAAAATTCATGAAACGTTAATTAAAAATCTCGTTCTTATTAAATGCAATATACATGACTATGGATATAATTTCATTATATTACAGGTTATTCTCAAAATTCGAGCATTTCACAACGGCATTTCTTTCGCGTGTGATCAAGCAGCATAGAATCACCAAACATTTGTTCGTTCGTGAATTAGAAGGATGACTTGAAACTCACTCAGCAAAATGATTGGGTCATGTTGTCCAAAAATTACACTTTTTCTTACCTACAGCACCAACAGAAAAAAATTTAACACTGATCCTTTTGCTGGGCCAAACTGGGTTAGCATGACCCACACAGAGAAAAAAATGCATCGCTATTTGGAAAAGGTTTCGCTCATTTCTGTGAATGCTGTTGGTTGTTGCGTACAATAAGATACAAAGGCTCCTTGATACGACGATAAGTTAAGACTTAACATTAACTGCTGGCCGTCAGAGGCCCCATGCCGAGTCCATGCATATGACTCATCAACTTGATAACAGCTATACAACTCGGTAGGGTACGTTGCAGCACCAGAAAGTTTTACCGGTATCCATCCGGTCATTTTTTTTTAATTTCGAATTTGTTCGGGAGGAGGGGGGATTTTCCAAAATTTTCCCAAAAAATTTCAAATTTTTTCCCCTCCGCCCCCCCCCCTTTTTGCAAAATACAATCCAAACTATAATAAAAAGAACTCGGTAGGGTACGTTGCAGCACCGGAAAGTTTTACCGGTAGTACAAAATTCCTCGAATTAAGGGCATAAATCATTTACTTTTAATTCTGACGTTTCCCTGTTTAATTATAGAACCAAGTAAATTTTCGTCAGCTGTTTTATTTCTACATAATATTTAAGAAATGTCTACCAATCAGTTGAATCATGTTAATTAGTTTTGTTGAAGACCAGACTATTAATTTTACTACTACTTATTTTTATTATTATTATTAGTTTTGCAAAATCTTTAATTTACGAGAAAATGAATATTATTTATGCAAAACACGCACAAAAAAGGGCTGATGGAAACTTTATCATTGAACTACAAAACCGAACTATAAGTCTAATTTGTATAATTTTAAAACTAATAAGAGAATTAAGAACTGAAACTCACTCTTTTTTTGATAACAAAACTTTGATTAAATATCAGCATCGGCCTAAAGAAGCAATATTCAATTTAAATGTATTAAGGGCCAAAAACAAATGCACAGTAGTGATGGGAAACATAAAATGAAAAAATTGTATATTTTCTCATGAGAATTACACTTATTTTTATACAATAATAAGTGCTGCTTCTTTCCCTCTTGTCGTAATTGTTTTTTTTTTTATTGTCGAAATATTAACATTTTCGTGTGTGTGCCCGCAGCCAACGTATTTTGGGTGGGCGGCCGCAAGGACAGAGGTCAATGGGTATGGCTCAACGGCAACGGCTTGTCTGACGACGACTGGAAGACGGGCAAGCCGGACAGACATCCTTCCAAAATGTGCCTGCAACTCGACGCTTCGAGCAGCTACAAAGGCGTCAACCACTTCTGTGGCGAGAAGTTCTCTTTCATTTGTGAACATAGACAAGGATAAAGACGAGGACTGTGCATGTAAAGAATACCGGCCACAGGCAAATACTTTCGAGCAAAATAACAGACAAGCATATTGAAAACACCTTTGTTTTGTATGCCATTCTTTAGAGATTAAAAGGTTAAATTGGAAACTACAGTGTAAAAGAATTAACTCTTACGTGGTTAATTAAAAGGAAAACGAAATAATGGAAATTGCAGGAGAAATGATGTTTTATGCTGATGAATGGTAACTTGAAAATTTGTATTTTTTAAAAAGAACCCGTGTAATTCGCAATTCTCGGGATCTGGGAAATCATCGCCTGATGACACTTTGTCACGACATAAGCAAACTATTAATATTTTTGTTAAGTTGCAGTAAGCAATTCGTTCTTCGTTGAATCACTTTAAGTACGTAGTGCCGATGACACAATCTCTCAGAACTGATGCTCAATTTTCTCGTCGACTACTAAACGGACTAAAGTCGAAAATATTTGATTTATAAATATTTATCCTGTTCTTAATAATCCTACTTGTAATTACAATTATTTATAAATTTTTAACTAAAATTTTATCTTACAAAGACTGCTTTGAAATAGAACCCGATCTTCTAGTTGATTCGAAAGCATTTTAAATATTTATTAATACGGCGCATCATTGTTTGCTTTTTTATATTATTTACAAATAAATTATATTAATGTGGTTCTCTACTTCTACCTATAACTGTCGTATGAATTAAATATACTGCCTTGAATGATTTCCGGAATCCGGTGATACGGAACTACATAGCACGAACGCGGAACGCATCCAGGGTTTATGCCGTGCGGTAGGAACATAAATGAAACAAATGATAAACGTTTTGTCTTTAATGAATAAATCAACTCTCGAGATAAATACAGGCGACTTGCATAGGAAAGCATGGCGAAGAGAATCATTAAATCTTTCGCGACGCTTTAAAAGTTACTAGATTTCAAATGGGAATTTTTATTTCTGGCTGGAGTTACTTAGCTAAAAATTGAGTTTAAAGTCTCGTGATTTAATCATTGATATGCTCGTCCGGCAAGTTCAACTCTTGCCGAAGTTTTTTGGCACTTATCAGGATTACTATAGAATTATATTCGCTCACAGACATAATATACGGAATAACTACACGATTCAATTAGTATCCAATTACATTTTCCATTGCTGAAAATTTAGACTATATTTAGCGGTGAAAATAATGCTTTCCAACTCAAACTTTCAAGTTTCTCGAATAAGTGAACACGTTTGGAAGCATAACCATCGATTTGGCATTTAATTACTTGAAAAAAAGCTTACAATTTTAAAGGAATATTTACAATACGTATTGCCGAAAGACGCTTATTGTCTTTATTGCCCTATTAAACGCTTACCTAGTGCGAAGATCAGCAATGGAAAATCAAACTGAACTTCACATGGCGCTAAGCGGTGGATAAATTCCATTGTAGGCGAGAGGTTAAATGCGTATAAAAGTCGCCATACAAACTAAAATTTTTAGAAAGGAAATGGAACAACAAGAGCTTTAGCAGTTCATGAAGGTCAGGGGCCGGATTATCAAAACTTCGTAACTCTTTGTACTTACGACAAAAAAGTTCTGTGGTAGGTAAATACACCCTAATTTTGGCAATATCAAAACGTTCGTTCGCAAGTCTTAGCTAAAAGCCTAAATTTTTTTCCCGCGCAAATGTTTTTATAATACCACCGCTAGTATTACGTTGTCATAGCAACGCCACTCGTAAGTCGATTTTGCGTACTTACGAAGTTTTGATAATACGGCCCCAGGCTCACAAACAGCCCCACTTTACGACGTGAGAACGTCCTAATTACACGGGCTCGGGCCAAATAACAGATGATCGCAAGTTTCATATTAAAATGTGGTTCTCTACTTCTACCTATAACTGTCGTATGAACTCAATGTAATGCCGTAAATGATTTATGGTATCTGGTGATACAGAATTATATAGAACGAACGCGGAACGCATCCAGTGAATATGCAGTAAGGTAGGAATATGAATGAAACAAATAATAAACGTTTTGTCTTTAATAAATAAATCAACTCACGAGATAAATACAGACGACTTGCATAGGAAGGCATGACGAAGAGAATCAATAAATCTTTCGCGACGCATTAAAGTTACTAGATTTCAAATGTGTATTTTCATTTCTGGCTGGAGTTAGTTAGCTAAAAATTGAGTTTAAAGTCTCGTGATTTAATCACTGATATGCTCGTCCGGCAAGTTCAACTCTTGCCAGAGTTTTTGACACTTATCAGGATTACTATAGAAATATATTCGCTCACAGACATAATATGCGGAATAACTTCACGATTCAATTAGTATCCAATTACATTTTCCATTGCTGAAAATTTAGACTATATTTAGTGGTGAAAAGAATACTTTCCAAATCAAACTTTTAGGTTTCTCGAATAAGTGAACACATTTGGAAGCATAATTATCGATTTGGCATTCCATCGCTGGAGAAATAACTTACGCTATTAATGGAATATTTACAATACATATTGCCGAAAGGCGCTTATTGCCTTACTAAAAGCATATCTAATGCGAAGTTCAGCCACGGAATATTCAGCTAAATTTCACACGGCGCTAAGCGATGGATGAATTTAATTGTAGGCGAGAGGTTAGAGGTCTTAAAAAGTCGCTATGCAAATGAAAATTTGTAGAAAGGAAATGGAACAAAGACAGCTTTAGGAGTTAATACAGGTCAGGCTCATTAACAGACGCACATTATGACGTGAGAACGTCCTAGTTACATGGGCTCGGGCCAAATAACAGATGATCGCAAGTTTCATATTACCGATGGACGACAAGCTAAATTCACTACACTGACACGCGGACATCGTTAGGGCAAGTGTCCGTAGCTGGCGGACATCGTTAGTACAAGTGTCCGTAGCTGGCGGACATCGTTAGTGCAAGTGTCCGTAGCTGGCGGACATCGTTAGTACAAGTGTCCGTAGCTGGCGGACATCGTTAGTACAAGTGTCCGTAGCTGGCGGACATCGTTAGTACAAGGACTCAATTAATCAACACAAACGTCTGGGAAATCGGTAGATACAAACTGAAGACATCAACTTCCAGCAAGGAAGGCAATCGTTACGTCAAATTATATAAATATAAATCCGTATAAAATGATCATATTAGTTCCGATATTAGTTCATACAATGATCACATTAGTTCCGATATATATTAAATATATAAGCACTCAACTCGCCTAAAAAATGTGCGTTATTATTTTTACTCGATAACCTCATACCCACCTTAAAATTTACATTCACAGTATCACGAATTACGCAAAATTTAAGAAGCATGTTTAGGTTTAGGATATTGACAGGAAATGAAAACCGTAGAATGAATCCATTCATACCCGATAAGCTTAGTCGTAGCTACAACTAAGACTAGTCCGTGATAGTATTACCACTCGATGGAAAACAATTTGTAGAAAGTATAATACTAAGTGTACAAATTTACAGATTTCAAATACTTACAAATATTTCACAATACCATTTCAGAAGACAATTAAGAAACATACAAATGTATTTTATCGATGCAATATTATTTTAAGTAATGGACGACGTATTCAGAATCAATACCTACTTATCGATATAAATCAGTTCTGTATTTGATCGTACAAATGTATATATACTCCTATAATCACTAGTCGGGATTGAAATACGCCAATATAATTTCATTCTATACAGATAATTATAATATAAAATTATCAGTCAATAACTGACGCATTCTTACTATTATAAAAATCGAAGACACTACATTGATATTGGCTTATTTATTTATTAGCAAGATTAACAAAGTTCCCTTACATTAATGCATAGATTTTAACATCAAAATGCAATCTGCAAGCCATGAGTCGCGGCCAAGGGAAAAATTAAGGCTAATCACCTATGCCCCGCAGACCAATGAGCGTTTAATATGAAAACAAGCATGCAAAAGCACGCGCTTATTGGGACCATATAATTAGGATCAAATAATGTTGTGTTACTCCTGAGAAGAATATGGCATATGAATAAATTTTTCGATGGAACCATAATCAGAAATTATATGGATTTTTACAACACATGGGGAAAGCAGAGCATAAATTGTAAAAATGACAGCTACGTTAACATGAACATCGGACGTAAAAGTAAAAGGATACGTAGAGCACATTGCATGACACGTACAATAGGTATATATCTCAACAGCGTACCATAAACCCAACCACGTCAATAAAGTAACAAAATTTACCATGCATAACAAGAAAGGACCACACAAAATATTGACTAATTGATCAGAGTATAGGCAGTTTACTGCGTGTGAGATGATAAATTGAAAACACTGCCGCGACTAGAAGCTTTGTTTAGGTTGTACATTTTCTCTTCTGAAATCATTTTCTATTTCTTTCTGGTTGCCCCAAGACGTCATTGGAAATTATGTAAATATTGTTGACCAAATGCTTAAGCTATAAAGGAACTCAGCAGATACAGGCGGATCTTGGTATTTGACCAGTTCTATGTTGTTCAAAATGACGTTTTGGTCAATGTTATTGTAAATATAATTGGAACACAATCAGGCCTAACAGAAACGTGCGCTGCTATGTCGCTGTGATGAAATATTGCAATGGTTGTCTTGCCTAAATGCTACCTAATGTTAAGGTTTGTAATAAATTATACAACGATCATAACGTTTAAAGTAAGATAAAAGAAATCAATAGTTTCAACCACACTCTGATGAGCATCATTAAAACCTCCTGCCTCATACTTAACGGAGGCAATCCCTAGTTGGTTGCTAAGATTTTTAAAGATTTTCATTCAAATGGGCCTAAGGTTTCAAAATAAAAATTTTAATGGACGACGGCGCCAAGCTTGAGCATCTCAACTAATAACTTGATATTCCACGCATGCCGTATACCAGATACGAGTTCAGCAATCAGAATCTAGATATTTAAATGATGAAGAATAATAATGACTTGCTTTAAAGTCAGTAGACATAACTGATACGTAGATATATTTACATGCTCGTACCACCAAGTTACTTGCATAGGTAGGTATCCATATCATGCTTCTCAATCACCTTAATTTATTTGGAATATTACCTACCTTAATATTAGATCATGACGGATATTAGATCATGACGGATATTAGATATTTCATATTACTTTTAATGAAAAAAATGGCAACGTTCATAATGCAGTAGAAGTAAGAAACTTAAATAAATTAGTCTTCTCACTATATACATAACAAGTGTCTTCCAAGCCAACAATCTGAACAAAAATGAATGGCCAACAATAGAAAATTAATTTATAAAAAAACCCATACCATAAAAAAATGTCTCACTGGGCACATTTGATTCACAACCAGAATAATTTATTTTATTGAAGTTTAAAATATTGTTTCTACTACTAGAAAAAAATTTTGCATCTAAACTTCTGCCTACAATTCTGAGCAGTATTGGATCAGACATATCTTCAACAATTAGATAATTTTTTTTGCTAACATTGGCGATATTTTTCCCTGGATGGCGAAATTTAATTCAGTGAGGATCTTGTCACTTGTTTATTCTATTTCCAGCTAACTTAATTTAGCTTTATTACTTAAATTATGGCTGCGTTATGTCAGTCACCAATCTCTTCAACTAAAATCTTAGCCATGCCAGGCCCGTGGTTGCCACAAGAGTAAGAATCTTGTGAGAAAAATCTTTATAATAATTCATGAATGCCTTCAGACAATATGCATGCCGTTCACGACTCGAGTCTCACCACCATCATCTGTCTGCATACTTGCAACAGAATGCTCTTCACCTTCAGTAAACCCATGACTGGACTGAGAGAGCATGTGATCGAACAAATTAAGGCGGCTGTTGATCACACGCTGGTAGAACTTGTAGATCACTACCAGGAAGAGCAGGATTATAGGTACCAAGACACAGGTCGCGACGTACGCAGACACTCGCGATACCGGGTAGAACTGAACCCACACGATCAGGCCGATCTCCATCAGGAACAGCATGATGCCGAACACAGTAGAGCACATCCACGCCAACTCAATGTATCTGTTATAAAATTTAAATATATTATTGATTTATGAATACATTATTGTGACGTCTGGTAGAAAACTTTGGGGGTATGTCACGTACGAGGGCACATGAGCAACAAATAAGACATGAAAAAGGATATGATTGAATAAAATCAGCTTTGTACAACATGGAAATGATCTGCAAAAATTGAAACTAAGCAAGAGAAATGATACTTCAACTGCTTTTAAATGTCATTAAAACAAGAATGTTGTCATTTTAAGGATTTTAAATCTTCTTAATTTTCACGTTTGACTAATGACTTATTTACTTTAAAAATGAAATAGTCATATCATCTTAGCTAAACTGTTATTCATAAACTTTCTGGAAAAAACTATTAAAATCTTGACTACTTCTTACAATCAAAATTTTAGCGTCTAAGATCAGCATCTTTCTCATCAGAAGGCGATCATCATAATTTAATCCTTAAAAGTAGTGTAATTACTTCCTCATATGAAGATGAGGCTGATAAAGGCCTTCCTTGTTTTTCTCTGGTGCATATTGTGGCAAGAGGGGCCCAGTTGCAGTGTTGTCCAGAGTGTGGCCCGCTGCCACCTCTACGTGAGGCAGCAGGCACGTGGAGATCATCAAAGCAAGAAGATGAACAGATACCAGCACCACAGTGCATACACTAAATGCTATCAGCAGGCCAGGTGGTAGGCCATTTTTCAGGTCCATCTCAACCATTGCTACCTGAAGGGAATCATATGTTAACTTTACTTGATACTGGAAATTATACTGTTGCTGGTGCAATGGGATGGTAATGTTAGGTTCTTCATATAAAATTATAAACTATAAAATAAATGAAACATTGAATAACAGATTTGGTTTGCGATTAAATGTATACTAAAATAACCACCCTGTCTACAATAATACCAGGTACAGTATTTTCAGATACAATGTTCACAAGAATATTTGATCGTTATTTATCAACACAATTTATATACAATTTCACTATATTCAAAGCACAAATAATCTTATTGAATTATGTCTAGTTAAACATACTTTGAAGTCAGAAACATTAAAAAAGATTTATTCAGCAACATTCACACTACCATTGCAAATCCTGATAGCAGTGCAGATGTTCGTGATGAGGCCTTGAGTTTGGATCTTGCCAGTAGAAGAGTAGTCTTCTCATAATGATCCTGAGGGCTGAGGTAAACACCAGCAGCATCCCCAGCTGCGCCATAAGGAGAGGCCATCATAGCTTCCTTCTCACTAGCTGCTCACGGAGATAATTATCAATTGCAGGAAAAATATTTATTAAAGAGATAAAATAAATTCTCAATGCAAAATAAACAAAAATATACATCTGTGAGAAATTCTAAATTTCTTAACAGCTCAATTCTAATTTCTCACCAATAATTTCTAAATCCATGCCCAACCAAGTCTTCTAAATTTCTAACCAAAATTCTAAATTTCTCATCAATAATTTTTGAAATTTCACCTCTAAATATTCTTCCATGATACTACTGGGAATATGAAATAATTTAGTTCTAGCACGCAATGCAGTTCAGAGCAGTGGCTGGTTCAATCAGACTTATGTTATGAGCTTCCATATAGATTTTCTCTAAATTTCCAAATTAATCAAAAAGAAAGTAAATACACTGGGCACCAAAAACCTCAGGTTAGTTGCTGCATCATAGTGAATCTATATCATGACAATAGACATGGTAAATTTGTCTTGAGAGACATGATTGGCATGCAATTTAATCTTGACTAGTTTTTTCTTATTTTCTGCAGTATTAACTTCCTGAAGACACATACAACTTCATTTTCTTATCTTTCTGTGTCATTATAAGTTTTAACCATGTAACGTCATGCCCTGTAACCATGTAACACAGTAACGTCATGCCCTGTAACCATAGTGACAAACCAGAGAATTTCTAGTATCAGTTCATTTATAATTTCCTTATTTACTCAAAATTTAAACCAACATCTCATGTATGATAATGCTGGTATGATGGTATCCATGATAATTTACTGGTCCACTTATCATGACTTATGGGACTCAAAAATGAACTTGAGGGAGAGTCTAAAAACTCTCTACTTTGCCTGTTTGCCACTATGCCTGTAACCGGTTAACATCATGCCCTGTAAGTGGCTGTAACCATGTAACGTCATGCCTGGCCCCTGAGCCAACTTGAACGGCTGAACCCTTAATACTTCATGCCAGGCTGCCTTAAGTGCAGGCTGCAGCTGTAATGCATTGGCCCTATTGGCTATTCTTTCTACCTGGACTGGGAAGTGGGAACAATACTATCATTATTTTTCAAAAAACAATTAAATTTGGTTTTTGATAAATAGCAGATTGATAAAATAGTAAAGTAGCACAAATACAAACAATGAGCAGATTCCAACTTTCCAAGATTTTAATCAACAGTTATCCCTTGCCTTTCTTTCTCAGTTATTCTTTCAAGATATTTTTTCTCCTCTTTACCTTTTAATCGGTATTCTTTAGGGCTTAGGTGACTCCTGTAATTTTGTATTAAAGTGTTATATATTGATTATGCATAATAATTCTATGATAGAAAAATCAATAATGTATATACAAGACTAAATTTATATTGTTATTAACAGAAATTCTCAGAATAAAACATCCTCACTAAATTTCTTTGTTTAACCATTCAAATTAAGCAATCATCAAACAAAATTTATTTTAATTTTATAACTTAATTTGAAAAAAACTACCTAGTCAATTTATTTATGTGCAAATTCTACAAAATTAAAGTATTACAATAACATACTTAAGTTATAACTTACATAGACTGCTACTGAGTACAGACAATTGCAAGAGATTTGAGATGAGTACAGCAACCACTAGCTACCTAGGAACCTAGCTAGCTATTGCTTAGTAGGCTACGTTGGTAAAAAATAAATCCTGGTAACACTTTATAGAAAAAAATTATGCATTTGAACTTTGAAGAGATTTTAATGCAATTCTGTTGCAAAATTCAATATATACAAAGCAAATTTCAGCTCTTCCTCTTACAAAAATGAAACTTTCCTCAACTAAGTGCGCATATTTGCAAGACGGGTCTCATTTATTTCGCAAGCAAACTTGCACAACCTCAGTCATCTAAACATTGGTCATCGCATGCAACGGAGTACGCAATGTCGGAAAAGTGATGCTTACCCATTTCCGTGCGAAGCAGGCCCATATTTGATGCTACCACACCGAACTGGATAGTTAAAAAACGAATATAACTGAGTTAACACTGGTGAAGCTTCAATATGTTATATTACATTACTGTCTTTTAAAAATAATAATGAAAGAGTGCGAAACGTAATTAAACTAGCATGTCCTTTGAACTGAACAATGAAATTGGGACAACAATTGTTTAACTAAAGTTACTTATCAAGTTGTGCTCGCAAGTAACGTTCCTGACATCTGGTGGCGGTATGGAAGGCGATGATTCAATTCATGTCACATGTTTATCGTGTAGCGCACAATGCTCAGTACGCCACGCGTCATTACTATTGTGATCGCGTCGTCTCCAAGCAGCTGTCTAGCGTGTATAAATCTGTAAACGGAAATTCCGTTCTCGGATCACATTGTCAGTAATTTGAAGAAAAACATATATACGACCAAATAATTGGTACTACAATGTACAGCCGCATTCCCGCACATATACTTTTGCCGGTGTAATAGCTTTCACCCCTCACATGATCGCAATATTCTGGACACAATGAGGGTTTTTAACGAAAAAAATGAACTGAATATTAATATTTACAGAATTATTTATTTAGATGCCATCTAACAACTGACAAAACCGTGTGAGGTCATTTGAGATCACAATGACCTCAATGAAATGCATTATACCAGTACCATCGCTCAACACTTGTTATACCCATATTATATACCAGTACCATCGCCCATGATTCTTCAGTCATCAACGAGTGGGCTCGTTACCACTGCAAGTGTCTGACCAAAAATTTATTATCAATTAATGAAAAATAATCACCTGCTGTTTTTTTTTTTCATTCATATCATAAATCGTCCATTTTTAGTTTAAAGGAAATACTAACTCCACTGTTACGTATTTACGTATTGATCAAATTAGAGTAGAACTACTATGCTGTCAACAGTAGGTCATGTAAGGCCAGCAAGCCTTTATACTTCAGTGTATACCAGATTCCACCAAATACAGTTCCCCAAACCTATAGTCTCGTCTCTGCCCATCTTCCTCCTTAGCTAGCTTGGACTTAGAAGTCATACGACTAGCAAACGTAACACGTACAAAGGTTAGCACTCATACATTGTTTTTCAGACATCGATACCCGTATCATCCAAGATACAATGCAGTTGTTATACACGGCTCATTGGATCCGTATCGTTGGATCCGATGACAGCGTTGGCGCTCCAAGTATGAACGCGTTCAAGAACAGACTAGATAAAGCTATGGAAAAATATATGTTCTGATTTGAAATGCCTAGCACGATATCGAACCCGGTGGAAGTCGAGTAGCTATTTCAAACTTTCGTCAGTCATGAAAAATACGGTCAAATGACACGATTTCGATCTTATGTGAACAAGGCACGAAAAGAAAAAAAAAAGAATCGGCGACAGGCCACATCAGGCCTACACTGCAGCGCCGAGATCACTATGTTATGTTATGTAAATAATTAATACCATGCGATGCAATACTACAAGCGTAACTGCTTCAGGTGCTGCATGATGAACTCGAACGTGGAGGATTCCATGCTTAAAACAACGTCGCATCAAGTACCCATTTTCAAATTGAATGGCTAAATATCTCGAAACAAACATGTCGGCCTCCGGAGATGACATAGGAGTCTTCTTTTCTATCCTAACCCAGGCAGAAATCGCCGTGGTCGGGAAGCCAGATGCGGGTGATCATTCTTTCCCCAACGGTTGCACCAGTGCAGCCTCAAAGTAATAAAGGACCAGGCATGTCCAAACGATCGAAACAATCGCTCCTGCTTGCAAGAAACGTCCAACGCCCATGCTGTGCCGGACCGAGTCTGAGCAAACGGCAGTTATGTGACATAAGTTCGACATTGACGGATGACGGTCTGTTTACGAAGGTATTTGTGCTAAACGACCTAGGTTCGTGCTGGTAAAGCAAAACAAGTTCTCAATGTTTTTGTAGTTTGTGATCGGCTCTCCACCGATGAAGAACTCTTGCTTTGGAAGAAAACCCTACAAACTTTTATAGAGAATTATTCTGTATTTGCAGCTCCCTGTAGGTCTATTGCCTTACACAAGACTTCCGACCAACTCTCTTGCTTGGCCATCGAACGACGTGACGACGCACCCCTTTTCACTACATAGACACTTTAGGAATAAATTTGTAAAATGAAGTTCCATAGCAGGTAACCACGCAAGAGTTTCTCAAGTCGAAACAGATCTTGACTAAATTAACGACAAAGTCATTTACTGATTTTACGTCCGAAAAAGTGCTGTCAGAATTTTTTTCTGCTTCGATTTTGATAAGCGCGCTTAGTGCTACTTTTTTTATAAGTTTTCTGCGCACGAGTTTGTAAAATTAAAATATATCTTGACTCAATTTACAACAAACATATTCATTCACACTACGTTCCTGCAAGCGTTAACCATTTTTTTGCCCGCTACGTTTTTAATTAGCATGCTAAACGCCAAGTTTTAGCACGTTTTCCACCCATACGTTTTTCAAATAGAAACCGATCTTCACCTTAAATAACAACGAAGCAATTTATTAGCGACACATTTCTTCATGCGTTGTCAAAAATTTTTCGTCTGCTTCATTTTTAAGTTGTGGGTAGTAGTACCTTAATGACATGAGTCTATAAATACTCTCATAAAAGGTCGTTACAGTTTAAACAAGTCTGATTAGAAAGAAAAAAAATACAACTCGGTTACACAAGAACGACTCACATTAATCTCAACCGAACCTGGTCGAAAACTACTATTTAATTCCACAATATAGTAGACTAAGCCTTAAAGGCTCATTATACATGTGAAAATTCATACTGACACCTAAATAAATAACGCTAACACAAAATGTATATGTTTCCTTAAGAATCTGAATGACCCTGAGCTCACGCGTCATTCGACATTTGCTGCAACGTTCTGAGTGAAAATGAGACAAAAAACTAAGTATTCTTGCTCCGAGACAGCAGAGCATTGTGGACGGTTTTTGAAAAAAAGAAAAAAACGATGCACTGAAAACATAAATCTTAATATTATAAATTGCACATACGCGTCAGTCCACTAGAATTATTCATCTAGTACTCCACCCACCCACTACATAATAATAATAGCTGTTTCAGCGTTATATAGGCCGTAGGCCTGTCGCAGATTCTTTAATGTCGCAGAATATTCAGAGCTTGTTGCGGTCTCGAACGCGCAACTCATTGCTCCAATTCTGCTGCGCTTATAACCACCCGGGCCCCTTGCCGATTCTGACCAGAAACTGGCTCACAGCTAGAGCTGGGATCGAACCCGCACCTCTCTGCTCCAATCTTCGTACTCTGTGAACTGTAACTACTGGTCCACCCTGCCCATAAGTACATGAAGAAGAGTTTTTATTGAATTCTGAATTATCTACTGTACCTTGATGAAAGAAAGAAACAAATATGATATTCTAAGCATTCTTCACTATGCCAAGAGGTGTGAAATTGCTTGCGCGGGAGGTAATTATCTTTAACCCGTCATTCCCATGGATGTCCCCGTTGGCACTCGCAATTCAAACATTCCAGTTTCTAAGGGGAGTGAAAATCATGGTTGTATTAATTCAACCATGAGTGAAAATTATTTAAACATAATTTTAGGTTCTAACGTGCTTAATTATTCAGCAGTCAGAATATTTGGTATTACTTTAGATTAAGTGCATCCAAAAAAGGGTGTTTTTTTGTTTAATTATATGTTTTTTGGGGTGTAGATAAAGAATCTGAAATCCGTTTTTGGCGGTCGGCATCGGAAAACCGATTTTTTTCCCCGACGCTCTAATTCGTCAAAAAAATATCGGGCAAAAATCGGCAAAATTGGTGAAAAACCTAACCTAACCTAACCTAACCGTGGCTGCAATGTCGTGGTTGCCTGCAACGCCGTGGTTGCAAGAGTATATGGGTCACCGAGGCGGAGTTAAAAACGCTATAAGTCCACGGATATCGGGGCCAAGATTTAACTTGCATTTTATCGTACAAAATATATAAAAATCGGCATATATAAAAATAAGTTTTCCGATGCCGACCGCCAAAAACGGATTTCAGATTCTTTATCTACACCCCAAAAAACATATAATTAAACAAAAAATACCCTTTTTTGGATGCACTTAATCTAAAGCAATACCATAAATGGTCTGCAACACAGCACGCTACAACTTATAATGACATGTTGGCAATTTGGCAAATAATGAGAATGTGGAGTTTGTATGAACAGTCACATTCTAGATGTGAATGAGCTACACATAGGCATTCTATGCAAGACACTTGCTGCCACTGCCCGCCCACTCACTCCCTGGCCAACATTTGATTGTTAATGGTTTGAAATGTCACCNCTGTCTCTTATACACATCTAGATGTGTATAAGAGACAGGTTTTTAATTGTGTGAAATATTTTAATGAATTACCTGATGATTTTAAATTGAGTGTTCTAAATTCAGTTTGAAGACTAAATTCCGCGATTTTATTCTTACTCGTTATTAATTTGACTCTGATTAGTTTCGTAAGATTTTTGGGATTTGTCTTTTCTCAATAATATTTTTGAAAAATAATATGGTGTAAGACAACATTGTTTCGACTTTTCGTCTTAGTTGTATTTAATTATTTTAGGTAGGGTTGTTATTGCCGTTGTTGAATATCATTTTTATTCGCCATGCTAGTTATTCTTATATCAGTTTTACTAAAGGTTAGTTTTTATCAGGATGTTTTCAATTTAGTCATTTTCAGTTCCCTTTTGTCTTATCCCATCGTCATTATATGTTATTGTTTTTCGACTGTAATATCGCTAATGTCGCCTGTGAAGCTTTTTAGCTTATATGGGCATTCGCATCGAAGCATTTCGTATTTTTTTCTCCAAATTTTTGCCATTTTCTTGTTATGAATTTTTTTGTATGCTCCTGTGTGAATAAAGAATATATAAGCCGATTTTTATATAATTTCTTAGATGAAATGCAAGTTACATCTTGGCCCCAATATCCGTGGATTTATAGCGTTTTTAACTTAGCCTCGGTGACCCATATACTCTTGCAACCACGACATTGCAACCACGGTTAGTTTAGGTTAGGTTAGATTTTTTCGCCGATTTTTGCCCGATTTTTTTTTAAGAATTTGAGCCTTTGAGGATGCACTTAATCTAAAGTTTTACCGAATATTTAATTGATCAAGTGATATTGGAAGTGAAGCATTATGAAAAATTAGGATGAAAATTGAAGTCAGCATTGTACAGTATATTCGGTGGGTAAATAAGCATATGTAGTGCCTAAGATTCATAGCCGAATTAATATCTAAAACCTTCCCTCGCAATAAATGTGTGTTGAACATGCATTTTCTCGAAATTGAGATGTGCAATGTTTCCTCTTTGATATTTTTAGTGTGGCCTGCCATCTTTGCATCGAATTAGCCAACGGTGAACGGTCGTACGGCAGCTTGTTGATGGGCGATAAATTTTAGAACAGAACAATGCTATCTGAAACCTAACCACAGATGCTGTGAGCTAAAAGCTACGTAATTATTTTAACGAAGTCACGGAAGTCACCCGTCGCAGGAAGAAATGTCTTGGAACAGGACTAAGCTATCTGAAACCTAAACACCGATGCTGTGAGCTTAAACGTTGCATGGCATTATTCCTCATTTTATGGGGATGCATGTCAGGAGGTAGGTCAATTCACTACAGTTGCCTAGGTGCCAGGATGACAATATCTATAGCATTTAGATGGTTGATGATGGCTCCAGGGCTAATTTGAGAGTTAATTTGCTGGTTTACGGCTGCCGGCTGCGCACCCATTTCATGCAGTTCCGCTGGCGAGCTAGGTAGGCTGAAGCCGGCCACAACAACAACTAGCTACCTAAAAGTCGTATTAGCTTGACGATGGTGGGTACATCATTACTGTCGGGGGAGCAGAAATAACGTGAATATCATCAAAACATAATAATAATGGGTAGGTAGGCTGATTAATGGCAGTCCGTTGTCCGCTGGTTTTGGTTCAAGGCTCTAAACTGCTAAAGTCATGGTATGAAGACTGAAGTGTTGATTTGATGTAACGCTCAGTGCTGGACGAAAAAGGACGATCATTAAACTTGCGGAAATTAGGTATGCTTGGCGTTCTATTCAGGGTGTGCAAAATTGGTGGTGCACGGCTACACTCCCTTGAAAGAAATATGCGTGCGGCCCTGGCACATGTACGATGTAGCCAACCTGTTGAGCTACGTAGGTTGTTGTTGTTCTTCATTGCGAGTTTGCGACCGTCACGCTCGCCGGGGGGGAGGCTCTGGTGGTGGGCGGGGGGCCGGCACTGGAAGAGGGGGAGATGGGCGAAGGCAGGGAGCTACGTAGGTCGCAGGTTACGGTAGGTAGCCTGGTAGGTAGGTATACATTTATGCCCCGGGAGGCGATAACTGGGTAGTTTAAATCAAAAGTTCGCTTAGACTGGTTCAACCAGTCACAGACAGACAGACTCACAGCGAACTCATCATTCTGGTTGTGCACAACAAGAATGATGAACCAGAACACAGCACAACCAGAATCATTCTGGTTGTGCTAACTACTAAACTAGCTAGGTACTGAGGGACAAAAACCTGCTGTCTTTAAAGTTTAAAGATCAGTTTTTAATTTTCAATCAGTGTTTACTTACTTTATCAAATATTTGTGTCAGTTTTAGCTTGTGCTAAAAATAAAATTTCACCCAGAAGAATTGGACCATTAGACTGTTGGGCATTGGACAGATTCCTCCCATGATTCCCATCCCAAATCAATGATGGAGGGTCGTCAGTTGTCACAAAAGTGACAGCATTTCAACAGGCACTACTTCCAATGCCAGCCCTCCCCCCCCTTCTTTTCTCCTTCCACAGGGTGTGTACCAATTATGGAAAATCTGGAATGTCCTGAACTCCTGAAATTTAATTTTTAATTTTCCAGGCCTAAAAAGTACTGGAATTTAATTTCAGATTATGGAAAATACTGGAATTTGTAAATAAATAGAAAAATGAAGTATTTTCTGTGCTGCGTGTGTTAACTCTAATTGCCACGGGTTGTTGTGTCATGCTACAATCTTGGGTGCAAATGATATCTGCCCTTAATTTTGTTAAGTATTTTTTAGGAGTTTTCTATTTTACATACGCTGTGATTATTTTACCAGGCAATAATGATTAATATAGATTGTTTTCTATCAAATGCAGTTTTCAAATGTACAATTGTGAACTCGAATCAATTTTGGAAAATTATGAGAATGAAAGGACCAAATTTCTGGCCTCAAGCACAGCCATCTCCATGTACGCCAACTCCGACCGCTTGAACTTTTGTCTGTTACCCATGGGAAGGAGACTGTAAGTCATTCACATGTGTGTGTGTGCCTGAGATATTGCTGGTGCATGTGCAGCTTCAGCACTGGTGCACCTGCATCCTCATTGCTAGGCCAACATCCTCCTGCATCCATGTTGGTGGCCTGGACAAGATGACCATCACCAAGAAGATGCTGCTTGCAGCTGGTAGTGCCAAAACAGCCTACAATAATTATTTGGCAGTAGAGAAAGAGCAGAATACGAAGGCTCAGAAAACCCAGAAGAGGAAGGCTCTGTTGGATGAGCTAGATGAACTGAAGAGGAAGAAAAGGCATACGGAGGAGGGCATTAAGGTGCTTGAGCAAGCAGCAGATGAATATGCAGAAACAATGGAGAGAAAGGGGGATTCGAAAGTCATCGCAAAGTTCAATGTCATGAGGCAATCTTTGAAAACAAAGCAACAGGAGCCAGACACTCTTGAACTGAACATTAAAGAAAAAGTTGATGAAATAGCTGCCAGTTGAATATCAGGGTAGTGGTGTTGAATTGTGTTCTGAACTGTATTGACATTATCATGTGCAATATTGTGTGCATTACTTGATATTGGTTGTGATTTGACACTATTGAATTCATAATAATAAAAGTGTGGGCTTGATTTCCAGTTTTGTGTAATTTTTGATTCTTTGTGTCTGCCTGCTCTATGCACTTGCACGTTTGCTAGTTATCAACTTTAGGAGATGATAGAATATGCACGGTTACTCTTTCAGTCATGCTAAACCTGTCGGATACAAGTCCTGGAAAATTATACTGATGATCATGGAGAGTCCTGGAAATTTATTTCTTAATATTGGTACGCACCCTGCTTCCACTATTTTCCTTGAACACCCAACACTCGGCTGTTACTTCAAACTGCCCAATTACCTTATCACCTGCCTACAAAGCATGCTCTGTTTAACCCCTGCACACCAACAAAACACACTGCAGATTTTCTGCAACCACTAACCAACTTACTGCCAACATGATACACTTATGCTTAACAACACAAATCACTGAAAAAATGGAGTGTTTTCATAAGATAGGACAATCCTTATATGCTGACTTCATTGTTGTAGAAGCACTTGCTCATCTTGACCTCTCCTCAAACTCCCAATAAACTACAAGAAGAGCCAATGCAAACCAAGCAAATTACTGCATGTAACTTTCTCTCAGCCCTATACCTTACTCTCCCTCTCTCTCATAAATGCAGCCCCCATACTCAATGCCATCCTATCCACCAATATCCAACAAGCTATCTACGTGCTCAACCCAAACTCTGTGCAAACAGAAGAGCACAGAAAAGGAGCACCAACACCTCCATTGGTGATGCACCTCATCCTAATCAAGTAATTAATTGATGCCCCAGGTCCAGGAGCCTTCACCGGAGTCAAACAATGATATTCTTGATGTATGTGGTGTGTGGTTGAAAAGTGCATGGTGAGGTGGCCTTGCAAATTCTAGCAACATTTTTGAAAATATAATCTATTTTTCCACCATCTTCTTTCACTGTGTGGCTCATCTACTTTAACCATTACAGCAACTGAACAGCATTGCAGAAACATGGGCTGGCCATTTATGATTGCATCTTTGCTGAGATAAGAGTTACCTGTGGAAAAATTGGTAATGTATCTGAATAAAGCACCTATGTCTGAGAAGGCTGGTGCTTCGAGATAAATCAAGATGTACATTAATCTTACAGTTGAAGAATTATCATTTGTTTGTGAGCAGGTGAATGTTGATTTTATTTAGCTGCATTCATTTTTTTTCTTTACTTCAGTGTCTTGAGAATAGTTGAGAATATTCAACAAACTAAGTTCAACTAACAAAGTCAAATAATTAATTTATGCTAGTAATTTGATTGTGTCACCAAGCAATGAGTTGTGCTGCCTCAAAATCGTGGTGTGGACCAGCTCTTCAGTTTAATATTGTGAGAGAATGTTCTAAGTCTAGATGTCGTGTTGCAAAACTGATTCTTCCGCATCACACTTTGGAGACACCAACATTTATGCCTGTTGGTACAAAGGTCAGTTATGATTAATGAAATGGTTGAAAATTAAATCATAAAATTCTCATTCTGTTATTTATGCTGAATTTTACTTCAAATAAAAGCAAATGTGACTTTTTTGTTGATCTTATGAGAATGCAGAAATTTTTTAGACCTACTTTGGAGATTAATTGATTCATTACAACTGATTCTTATTGGCAGCTAATGGGAAAAATATCTGCTCTCTGGACCAAAACTGGAATTTTGAAGCCATTAATTAATTATTTTTTTAACTTTAGGCTTATTTCCCCAGCCATGGAAAGCCATTCATGAACCATGAACTCATTTCTGATGATCACATTGCAGCCATGTCATGCGCACATTTTATGACTAAGCTCTAACTTTGCACTAGAAATGGCAGCTGGAATATTATTACCTAATTTACATGCAATTTAGCTCATGCTAATGCCTATTTTATGTTTTTGCAAAAAAAAAAAAACATTATATTAGAGTATAACATGAGAGTTCAAGAGCTTCATCTTTGACAAAAAAGTTATTGCGGCTGTCACAGTTCAGGATATACAAGTATGACAGCCAGGGTTGCACTGGGCACCTGCCCAGGGAGCTGCCTGCCTACCCATACAGGCTGGGCTTTTTAATGCTAATAACCCCGGGTTATTATGAAAAACGCCCAGTGTGAAACGTGGGTTTTAAATATAACTTGAGAGTGCATCAAATTTATTTTAGGGTTTTGAACTACAAAAAGAATAATACTGGATAGAAGCTAACCAGGAAATATCTATAAAGCTTTCTTGAACATGAACAGTCATCTCATATGTATACTGCAAGTCTCTATAAAAAGCCTACATTTATTTGAGTCCTAGAAATCCCATGCATCACAAAGTTTCATAAATGATACTAGGTCCCCTTACTGTGATGATATTAGGTCCCCTTACTAGGTCCCCTAACTAAAAGTCATTTTGGACCTTTCACAATGACATGATATCAAAAAGTGACCACCAGATATCTTCTTCAGATCAAAGCCCCTTTTGTGATTTTGTCTAAATTCATAGCAATTTTTGTCCCATCAGGGCCAGAGAAGAAGAGTTCACAAAGGTTTTTGTAACTACTGTCAAACAGAGTAATAAGTGACGGGCGAGGTAATTTGTGATAGTCATCCCACATTTTGTAGAAATGTTGTAGCAGCTAAACTAATCAAAATATTGTAAAACTAAAAATAGGGGCATAAAGTTCAACACTTTTACTATCTATGTAGCATAAAGCAATTTAATAAATCATAGATTTACTACCTCTAAAAAATCCCTGAAAAAAAGTGTGAAAAGCGAGATTTTGGAAAATTACCTTTGCTAAGGTCTGTACAAAAAAAAAATATTTGCTGTATTAAAAAAATTTACTTCCATAAAAGTTAGATGCAAGTGTTGGCTTGAAAACATGATTGACAAAATTTGGGTATCACATTCCATAAAAATGGCGACCATTTCTGCAAGACTGGGTAATAAGAATCACCCCCCAGGGTAATAAGGGACATGCCTAAAAACGCATTTTGATTAGCAATGGCTCCAGTTTGAAATAAAAGTTGATTTTAAAATATTTGAAGCATGCAGAGTGTACTCGTCCATTACAAACAGTACTCCAAAGTCCTCCTCTTCCTCTGTAGATGATGTAGATGTAGAATAAATACAATTTTCTGTGATTTGTACTTTTTTTTCCTTTATTGATATGATATTACCATATCCAGACATTATCATATTATTGATGTGATACAGTATTACCATATCCATGGACATGCTATTGAGCGTTGACAACTGCCTTGTCCACTGCAAGCTTCATATCAGCAGCCATATAGCATTTCTTCTGTATCTGTAAGCTTACAGGACTAGGTTTGTAATTTTGCACCATTTTAATTGGGTCAATTGAATTCAATTCCTATAATAAGAAAATATTGTAAAAAAACATACCTGAAAAAAGAAAGGTATATTTTAATGATAACCACCATATTTTCTGGAGAAATAAATTATAGTTTAGGTCAATTTCTTTTCATTCTATTTTGCCCGGTGCACAATCCTAACTGACATTTATGCACAATATTGTGATGACTGATGAGGCATTAATTTTTTGTTAAGTTAAGTTTTCTCACTGAGCAAGGTAAATGTAATCAAAATTATTTGTTGTTAATTGATTTTGTAGTTGACTGGAGCCTTCGCTGGAGCCTTTGGTTCTACTGTAAATGCGTTTTTAGGGGCATCCTGTATTACCCTGGGGCAGAGGGTGTCCCTTAATGCCCTGCTGGCTGCCATTTTGTTTTGGATTGAAGTACCAAAATTCCATCAATTAAGTTTCTGACACCTGTCTGCAATTTTTTTTACTACAGACCTTAATAACTGAAGTACAATATCACTTCTCAACATTTTTCAGGGATTTTTTAGAGCAAGCAAATGAATGATTTCTTAACTTCCTTTATGCTACATAGATAGGAAAAATGTTGAAGTTTACATTTCTATTTTTAGTTTTGCAATATTTAAATGTAGTTTTGCTGCTAAACATTTTAAGCCGTGGCAGAGGAGTGTCCCAATTTACCCCACCCATTCCTTATTACCCCATTTGATGGTACTAATAAATTTATATATGCTGTATGTGTGTATGACAACGAGGTGTGATCATGTGTACCTACCTACAGTCTTCTCTGTGTTCCACAAATTTTACCATATTTAGCAGATATTAAGCTTTGTATTTCCTTTCAGAGGTCCTATAATTCTTCTACTGATGAATTAACTGCCACTGATCTTATTTTTCAGGGAACAATGAAAGGCCTACTTCCAGAACAAGTAGCCGATGCTGGTGCTGATATCATCTTGGGAAACACTTATCATCTGGGAACCCAACCTGTGAGTGAAAATCAAAGTGATCATCTATTATCATTTGTTTAGACCAATGATCTATAATAGCATGAAAATGTCAATTAAAGCACATAAATACAATTATGTAAATGGTTTGCTTGAATTAAAATCTAGTTACATCCTTCATTATCATTTCTTATTTTCAGTATTTATTTCTTCATACATCATTTCATCAAATGAGTTTAATGTAAAATAATTACACCAATAAAGAAATAAATCAATAAGATGTTCTTATTTATATAGTACCAGTTTGATTGTCCATAGGTATATTGTAGCAATTGGTATCACAGTTTTGCAGTGGATTTCATGTGCATGTTGGTAATGTTCATTCCCTTGGTTAAGTGTTTTAGGTATCTTACATAATTTGGTTGTAACTTTTGTTAGTACATGGACGTGATTAGCTGTTTTTCATTTAGAGCATTATTTTGCCTTAATTTAAAATGTTAATCCCCAGGTGTTGAACAATTGGTTCTTTAGAACATGTAAGAAGAATTGGCAAATCCTGATAAGCAGTCTCTAAGAATGAGATAAACATGTTGGAGGTGCTGATATGCATTCATATGTGAAGTGGTATTAAATTGATTGAAAGTTCATATCAAAATGTAAGAAAAGAATGGATGAACAATGAATTTTCAATTTCCTAATATGCTGCTGTAGCTCAAGTTATTTGTCATAATCTGATTGGAAAGCACCACACATTATGCCCACTTTCCCAACTTTAAAGGGCAAAGAAGTTCTGAGTGCTGCTGGAGGCCTGCATCAGTGGATGCAGTGGCCGCGTGCTCTTCTTACGGACTCTGGTGGCTTCCAGATGGTGTCGCTGCTCAAGTTTGCTAAGATAACAGAAGATGGAGTCACTTTCCAAAGCCCTTATGATGGCAGGTTTCATTAAGAATTCATGTTGATTTCATTTAGAAGCAATAGATATCAATCAGATGATGAAAATTTTATAAATTGAGCCAATAATTCATGCAACATTAGGATATTTCTTTATTAGTTTTTACTTTTTCTTCAGTATTTTATAAGGTTTTATTTAGGTTCTGTCCAATTTCTCTGAATTATAAAAACTTTTTTAAACCACATTCTTGAATAGACTTGATAACACTAAATAGGTACCACAGTTATACAAGAGAAAGAAACTGTATGCTAATTATCTGTATTCTGTATTACCACACAGGTTCTGAGTGCGTCTTAACTCCTGAAGAAAGTATAGCTATTCAGAATGCCATTGGAGCAGACATCATGATGCAACTGGACGATGTTGTTGATGTTAAGGAAACCAATTATGAGCGCTTCAAAGAAGCCACACTCAGGTGAGAGCTTTGCCTTCCTCTTGTCTATGCTCAGTGTTTGGAAGGCCATTAATTGTTGTTATAATATCGTATATCGTATGTTATTGTGTTGGAAGATTTATTCTTCCCTGAGAATGGAATCTTCTGTCAAGAAATAAGAGTTTTTTTTTCAATAATTTATTTGTTTCGTCTGCAAATGTCAATACTGGTAGATTCAAAATAGAATTAGTTTTTTCTATTCACTAATTACTACAATCAAATTATAAATGTAGCTTTTTTTTAGATTTCAACAAAAGAAGACAATTTTAATGCATTAATGAACATCAAGTCTTTGCTATTTTTGAAGGCACATTGTATGAAACTACTGTTGACAGAAGTAAGCAATTTGTTTCATGAAGCAAAGAGATGTCAATGATGGTTCCAACAGAACTACACGCTGGTTGGACCGCTGCATCGCTGCCAACAAGAACACAGCCTCACAAAACTTGTTTCCTATTGTACAAGGCGGCGTTTTCACTGATCTCCGGGACCTCTCTCTTACCCAGCTCATGGAGAGAGATTCTCCAGGCTATGCCATTGGGGGACTGAGGTACCGAGTTATTGAAAAAAATTTGAGATGTATGAAATAGAGACGAATTAAAGATGTTTTAGCATGCATATTGTTGCTGTGAGATCGTCGTTATGACATTTCTAGTAGTTGCAGATTTACAGCTCAATATTCTTGTAGCTGCTGACACGTCAAATATAGGATCTGACAATTTTTTTCTTTTTCTCTTTGACTTTACAGTTGGATTGAAGGACATCTTTCATGTCTTCAAACTATCTCTTGACGACGAAATAATTTGAAATATCCGGAATGATACAATTCCTGCTATGCTTTCTTTCAGTGGCGGTGAAGACAAAGAAAAGTTCTGGCCGATCATTGAGCACTGCACACGTCGGCTGCCGCAGGACAGACCGCGCTACTGCATGGGCGTTGGGTTTGCCCCCGACCTCGTGGTGTGCGTGGCTCTTGGCGTCGACATGTTCGACTGCGTCTACCCCACTCGCACTGCCGTTAGTCTCTAGTGACGTCTGTTGTATTAAATAGTAATGGGCATCTCGCGTGTCTAGCACTGCCGCCGTCAGTCTCTGGCCTAGTGACGTCTGTTGTATGAAATAATAATGGGCACCGCGCGTGTCTAGAATTGCCCTCAGTCTCTAGCCTAGTGTCGTCTGTTGTATGAAATGTTATAGTGATGGGCAATGCGTGTATCTAGCACTGCCATCAGTCTCTGGCCTAGTGACGTCTGTTGTATGAAATGTTGTAGTGATGGGCAGTGCGTCTCTTGCACCGTAGTAAGTCTCTGGCCTATCCAAAGTGATGTGCCTGTGTGGCTCGTGCGAAAATTACTTGGTGTGATACCGCGTGTGTCAAGCGTGCCGGCCCCATCGTTCGTTTCTTGCCTAATGTTTATTACGTTATTTAATGTCTTAGGTTCGTGAGCTTAAAGAGTTCTGAATTAATGTAGGTAAGAAGGTTGTGGATTTTTAGTTGCCTCAATGCAATCCACATCTTTGATTGTTCTTCGCTTAAAAGCACTACTATTATTTAATTGTGATGGCTTATACCATTATTGATGCACTGAATTAAGATAGGATGAGGAAAAAAAACTTCAATAAAATACTACGGTTTTATCTAACAACTGCATCGTTACATTAGTACCTGTCTACGGCTTAGATTTATAATTTTTTAACTCCATAGTCATTAACCCAAAATCAGTAGTACTATGTTTGCTAATGCTGTTTTTGTTTAGCAAAAAACTCTACAAGATTTAAGTTGAGTTTAGATTTCAGTCTTCTTTCTGTACGATAATAATTATGTTATTGTGTTTTAAAATGAAGAAAAGCGTATCAAATTTTCCGTCGTGTACAGAGATTCGGCTGCGCGCTCGTCGACAACGGCCAGATCTCCCTCAAGTCTGACGTATACGCGTCTGACTTCTCGGCCATCGACGACGCGTGCTCGTGTTCCACGTGCCACACCTACACACGTGCTTACATCCACGCGCTCACCACTGAGAAGAACCCCGTGGGTTGCCATCTGCTGTCCATACACAACATAGCTTACCAGGTGCGTATGTCTGCACACGCGCTGTGGCTGTGACCTTCATGTCAAGGCGCTCGCGCTATCATTTCCGAACCTTTGTCGTCGTGACTTATCTGCGTTATATTTCTGGAGCTTCTTAAATTTCTAAGATTTTTTGCGAGTGATAATAGAGATTTTATGATAACTAATGATCATACTCATTGGAAAAAATTAGCAGAATGCGCTTTGATTTTACATTATGTACTGGTTGTGTTCAAAATCTAATTGTAATTAATCGTCATCATTATTTGTAATAAGTACAGTCTGTGAAAGAGGTTCTCATTGTGAGTTTTATTATTGCAACAGATGCAGCTAATGAGCAGGATACGAGCGAGCGTAAAGGAGGGCAAGTTTACCCAGTTTGCGGAGGATTTCTTCAAGAAATTTTATCGCGGCCAGCCTTACCCTCGCTGGGTCGTCGACTCCATGGCTGCTGTCAACATTCATCTCAAAAAATAAGTGTTGCGCTCGACTTGTTCGATTCTAAGCCTGACCTCTACTATACAAGTCAAGTTTTGGGCGAATCTGTGACAGAAATCGATTAGAGCTTTCTACAATATCCTTATTATGATGTCTCTAGGACCGTAGGTGTAATTTTTTCAATACTGTTTGGTATGTATTAGGATTACTTATTTATCTATCAATAACGAATTTGACATTTTGTGCTAAAAGATTATAATAATATTATCTTGGTTTAATTACAAGCGACTCGAGCCTCTCTCGTCTCGACGTCTTCACGCCAAACGAAAATGAAGCCTCAACTTCGCGCGGTGTTGGGACAGCGCGTGAAACTCCAGTGCCTTGTCCCGCTGATGCAACTTCGGGGAACTCGTCTGACTCAGATTTCTGGCTAGCTGATGACGAAAAATTCGTAGTAGTTCCTGGCGAAGAAAGTACACTTTCTGGCTTCGCCGCTCGCTCGTTTGATCGTGGCTACAGGGATGCACTTCGGCGTGACTATCCTGAAGAGGAAGAGCTTGGACGATCTCACGGCTATCTTGATTGTTTCAAAAGTTTACTGATGGGTGAGAAAGCGGTAGTTGAAAACGGAGGCAAAACTTCAGAAAATCGTTCTGGATCAACTTCCTTAGAGCTCGATGCTTGTAAAAAGGAATATATTGGTGCTTGGGTCGAATCGGTTAACAAAGTTCTTGGAAACGTTTCCAGAGATTGTAATGTTCTGCGTCCTGATAAAAGTGGGGACGGAAGATTAAATCCCTACGACAGTGTTGCGCGAGAATCAATTGCTCTGCATGAGGCACTTGGTAAAAGTGAGCCTAAGATTAATAGATCTGCAGACACGAATCCTACTTACGTATTGGCAGTTTTAGAAGGGAATTTAGCGGCGCTCGTGCAGAGGCGTCAATCAAACATGACTGAGGAGCACATGAGACAAATCGTTCAGATCCAAAATGAAGTGAAGCGTTTACTTGACTCCTTGAACACTGCTTATGAGAAATCCCTGAAGTTGCGATTAGAAGAAGCGCGACTCTCCGCTCATTTTGAGGAATTGTCTCCAAATGATGAGCTTCAGAACAATCATTTGTTTGGAAATTATTCTAGGGAATTTTCTGAATTAGAGAAACGCGCTAATGCTAGAGCTGACGAGGCGCGTGATATAATGGCCGGTGAATTTCTACCTCAGTGTGTAGAAGTTTCCGAATTAGTTCAGAAAGTTGTCCAAATTGCAAAGAGTTTTGACTGGACAATACGAGGAATAGAAAAGTATATGGGTCTGGAAATGTAGTGCGAACTAGTCATGCTTTTTATTGAGATGATCTCTAATACTTGAATGATATTCTGACTTGTCTGCGGATAATTCTTGGATGGAACAAATATTTACGTGAAGTATAAAATCTTAACAAAGCAGCTGTGAAAATACGTTAGGCTTGCGTAATGGTTGGAACCTTCCATTCATTGTGAGCCTAGAGAAATTTGAAGTAAGGTCGAATCTTGCTTGGTGAGTCGGTTTGTGAAGGCCTTAGGTGTTCAATTTGCAGTGATCTCGACTTTTTATTTTTATTGATTGCAATGTTACGTGGTTTTTCTTGTTGGCTGGGCTCTGTTGTAACATTACTTGGTGTTATATGCCCGGTTCGTTACTTTAAGTGTTTAACTTTAAACTCCAAGCTTTTTATAATTATTGTGTGAATAGCTTAGATTACTTCATGTCCTTTCAATTGGCCGGTTTGCTGGATTTTTTGGTCCGTGATAAAATTTAAAAAAGATTACCTACTCTGCTAGCAACCCATTTGTAAGGACAGACATGCTGGCTAAACTCTAATTTCAATTAAGGACAAATTGCATTTTATGTTCCAATTTCCTCTCCGTTTTAGATGAATTGATTATCTTAATTCGAAATTGAATTTTTTTTGGTCCGTCCGAATAAAGTTCGTGTCCGTGTTCTGCACCACGGTACTGAAATTGCGTATGTAATTCTGGGGCTGTGATATTGGGTGATTCTGTATAATTTAATGCTTCCGTGTATTCAGTTCAACTTTCGAAGCAACGGTTAATTGTTAACCAATGTGATATACACGTATTTGTTGCAGGTTGAAGAAATGTCCCATACAATTTTATGCCGGACAAGATAATAGAATAGAAGTGTCGGCACCGAAGAAATAGGCCCATGCGCGTGCCATCATTCTCATACTTCTAAACAAAGGTAGCTCACGTCTGAATGTTTCCATTAAAGTTCATCATTATCTGCTTGTATAATTTAGATACTTACAGTGGCTAACAATGAAAAATACCCATCGCCACTGTCTTCCTTAGAGCCGGTATTTTATTTGCGCTACTTTGGGTATAGGTTTACTAACAATTTAAAAGCAAGGGAAATAACCAGAAAAGTCACCATTTCTTTATATGAGAAAATTTTTCGTAGTCTAGCTTCATCGTCAGTTCAAAACTTCTAAGAAAAGCAGGATCAATTAGAAAACTAAAATTCACGTTGACGATGAAAATCTAAATTGACATGATAAAAAACAAATACCTATGAGGTTGATAAACCTTTTTACAATTTGAAGGGATTATAAGCTGAAGGCTTCATATAAACTAGGTTTCTGTTAAAAAAAATGTACAGGGATTCTAAAATTCGAGGGTCAGACACGCTCAAGAACCTGTCGTTTTGGAACATAGATTTAAGATCGTTCTCGGCAGCAGCAGACTCGAGCCGCTTGCAAATGGCACGATGGGATTGCATTACATGCTTTAAGATCAGGATTAGCTTGGAGATTGTTGCGACACACTCCGTTCTTAAAGGCATCCCTAGCAGAAATAATGAACCTATATAGTGGCGTCAAGTTGGCGAATGCTGCAACTTTCTTTCATCCTTAGTGGTTCTACCGTTGTATGAGGTGTCTTCTAAATTATGATGTGAAGTTAGCAGCTTTTCAAGGCTTGCATTTTATCTGATTTTTCAAAAGTTACATAATTATGGCTAACGCTCGAGCGTTCGAATAACTTACATTTTCCCCGACATCATTGAAGGCAACTATAGCTATAAATTGACTGAATTTCCGTTTTCTGAAGCCTATAAATTGACTGAATTTCCGTTTTCTGAAGCTTTCAAAGTATTTCCAGGAAGATGAAGCTGTCAGAAAACAATTAGTGCGGGCTGTGGCCGAAAAGTTTTAACGATATTTCGACTTGGATATCAAACTTTGGGTCCTGGGTTTCCGGAATGAAGAAAAATGCTGAAATAAGCCAAGATTGATTACGCAGAGAACATTGCCTCAGAAAGTTCGGTATCATCCGATAACATTTCAGTCTATCACGAATTACGATTGAGTGAAGCAATGGAAGGTTTCAAAACTACACATTATTGATTTTAGAAATGTGCTTTTCAGGCTGAATTTATTACTTACTATTATTAACTGCCGAATTATTATTAATGTCTTGGTGTAATAGCTTTTCCAGAGAAAATATGATGAATCTGGCTAACTGAACGCTAATATTTTTTGGATTAACCAATTTAAAATCTGCTTTAGTCTGTGCTGCAAGTTCATTTTCTTCTTGCCATCTATAAGACTATATTATTCTATATGGACTAAGACTGTGACCTGAACTTGCATGCTTTAGGAATTTGCCACAGACCTTGTCTCAAAAAGTGGCCAGATTACTAGCTATATTGCCCAGTGGTTGATAGCAGCAAAAAAGATTGGAAAATCAGCGGGTTTGAGCCTTAGCTAGGTGTGAAAATTGAGCGATGCCTCGAATGTTCAGTGACGAGTAGGAAAAAGCTCATTATATTTAAATTTAGTGCATACATGAATAGAAAATCATATCAAAGGCCCTTCCGCAGTTTAGCAGGCACCATATAAAAAATTTTGTTGGCCGTCTATTTCTTCACGCAATCCTAATTACAACCAAAAAAATTAATCCAATCATCCAAGCCGCTTATTTTGGTTTCATTTCGACCAAAACAGGCATTGCACTCGACACATTTCGTCTGGTGACCGATTTTAATTAAGTCAGTCATCGTAAATTGACTAAATTCAGCGTTAAGTTTAGTTTCTAAATGCCAGAATGACCTTCACTCACGAGAGGAGAAAAACTTATGATTCCCTCTATTTAAAAAAAGGTTTAATTTTATAGGGGAAAAACCCTAGCAGATTGGATGCTAAACTGTTCACTTTCAGCCCGATTGAATGCCAAGCAAGGCCCTCAAAACTAACGGGACATGCAATATAATGCGTCTAAAAAACGAGGCAACTGGAGCATAATTGAACTTTACAGCACGTGAAGAAAAACTCAAATTTGAACCATCGTAATTTTTTGAGCTCTTGGAGGGTCAAATTTACTCGGATATCTTGCAAGCAAGTAGGCTCCAGCACATATGCGCTGCATGAATTAATGGGCAATATAAATGCCCATTCCATTTGCTAGGCAAATAAATGACAATTTCTTTTCTTCATGAAACATATAACGACTCAGTTGCACCTGATGTACTTCAATGTTACGTGATTTACGTAGGGAAGAACTTACGTTTCCAAGATATCCCGTCTAGGAAGGATTGGATACTATACGAGGAGTATCCCTATTGAAGATGAAGCGAGAAAATTATTTAGGAGACGTACAAGAATGCATGTAAATATGCGTGTTATTAGGGGTCGTAAGTACACCAAAGGTAAGACTTCTTCCATGAAAATTATGCAGGATACCATTCAATAACTTCTACTAAAGCTTGGTTTCTAATTCAAAGTTTCATTAAATTTAATGGACAAGATGACGTGAAATATTCTAAAAAAGAACTATTAATCGACAACGAAAACAACTTCCAATGGTACAGATAATACAGATAAATATATGGCAGAAAATAGCGACTCGGTAATTTATGGGTACATCCATAATCTACCTCGTTATAACTACATCAAGATTTTAAATTTTGGAAACCATCTATCTAATATATTTCCTGAAATGATCAAAGCTTACCTTTCAGTTTTTTATTTCAATTTACAATCAGTTATCTTAGTACAGGCGTTGCAATGTTGAATAGGTTTATTAGTACTGCAGCTTTCAAATAAAGTTAAGAGATCGTAAGTTCATCAGCCAATCATTGACGGCCTTTCAAGCAAAATCCACCAATCATAGACAAGAAAATAGAGCGTAAGTACTTACGTGCACTTAGCGAGTTTTGAAAGTATGGTGTTCAAGTTCATTTTCACAACACGGATTATGAGGAGTCTTCAAGTACTGAGCAATTGTCAGAGATGACACGATGTCAGATGTTTGGGCAAATGTCAGAGTTGACACGGATGAAGGAGGTTCAGCGAGCTTAGCCTCAATGGGAAATCCCAGGCTCAGCCTTGCCAGTTTGCAACTTTGAAAACTTTACCATATTATCACTAAATCGAAAGTAGTAGCCAAATAATGGATCAAAAGTAGTTTAGTAGTTTTAATGGTAGTATGCTCAAGAATTTATAATTAAAACATTGACATACACTTTCAATAAATTATATGAGAAATAACGCATCAATAACTCGTGTAACACCTTTTTATATTTCTGCTATTGCGAGACTTGGGAGCCGAGCAATCAGATTTGCAAGTGACAGGCCTGTTGGTGTCAAAGTGCAATTCCCTATTTCGACTGGAAATGAATGTACAGATATTAATTATCACTCGTTTAAACTGTACAATGTATTTGGTGACTTATTTTTGCACTCTATCTTATCAAAATATTTTTTATGTAAAACTTTTTGATGAAAGTATCTAAATATTACTCAAGTGAAATTATTGTCGGTAATTTTCTTAACTGGATAATGGGTGGCACTTTACCCTCATCACTCCCACAACCCAAGACACTCAAATTATTGATCAAGATGTTTTCCTATATTAAAAACACGCATGCTCTTGCGACTCCAATCTACCCAAATAGTTAAATATTGGCGGAGTGGACCGTTTTCCCCACGACTTTCGGCGTTTGAACTCACACGGAAAAAAATTCGTACGTACTCGAATTGTTTCAGAACGGCAGTAAAACCAAGGCTTCTAGAAGACTTGAAGAACAAGTTTTTAGGCGGAGGCATTTTTTACTCGATCATCTTGCACTTGTGACGTCAAATAAATATTGCGTGAGGGGGCCTGAGGGCTTACTTCATATAGGGCTTACTTTGACTCACTTGCTCAACTTCTAACAAAAGTGTTAATAACGCATTGACTAAAGAGACACTAATAAACTTCGTATATGATTAAGAAACTTGTTTGTCTGTGACATGTTTCGAGAGAATGCAGCTTGAATACGAACGTTCTTCTTCTTTGTATTTCTTATAGGAGCACTGGAAACTGTTGGTCCATTCAGCGTGACAGTACTGGCCCTACTGGGCCTATACTTTCAAAAAAGTTACGAGATCGTAAGTTCATCAGCCAATCATTGACGGCCTTTCGATTAAAATCCACCAATCATCCGGTAAACTTTACAAAAGAGGATTTGACACGAATATAGGGAGGTTACCACAGACTTGAATCGTCTCTGCGAAACATGAATTCAATATTAATTAACTAATTTCATTCATGATGTAAATTGCAAAGAAGTGACAAATAAACATGCATTTTCGTATTGCTAGCAGCGTTTCCCATGAATTTCATTTGTGATTTAAATAGATGTGACGATATATTTTTACGAACATGCACTTTGGAGGCTGCGCTCTTTAAATTAGTGAAACAATATGAGCCGGAATTTTTTTAATGTGAATGCACGGGTATTCTAATATAAAATAATTCATAGCTTAATCTATTATAGGACATGGGAGTTTATAATGATCGAAATGAAATCTTACACAAAGTCAACTATAGTCACATTTATTTCGAACGTTAAAAAAAATGAAGTAGTTGAGTGATACATTCAACAAAATAGCAGTGTACATGTAAATGCCCTCGTCAAGTTGACTCGCTCTAACTCATCGATAGAAACGTCTTCTTAAAAGAAAATAGTATCATGAATGTAGAATCCAAATTAATAGTAACAAGCAATCCCTGCATAAATCACAGACAAATAAATCGTTATCTCTGCTTGTCCTGTTTTTATTCCACTTGTTCTTGAGTCTCGCATGTAACCGTGGAACGCAAGAACGTTCATGCGGAGTAATATTTCCCAGATGCGAGTAAGAAAAGCAAGCGCTAACCTGAGCCGGCTTTGTGTAGGAACGGAGCAAGAAGGCAGGGTGGCCCAGTGGTTGCAGTTCAGAGTATCGGGATTGGAGCAGAAGGGTGCGAGTTCGATCCCCAGCTCTGTGCGACAGCTTCTGGTTAGAAATATCGGCAAGATGGCCGGGCGGTCAAGTTCAGCACCATTGTAGGAGTGACTTGCGTGTTCGAGACCGCAACAACATGTGGATGTTCTGTGATGTTTAGAATCGGCGACAGGCCTACAGCCTATATAGGTGCCTGTACACAGGGATAGTACTAGCCGCTAGTTCATCCGCCGCTTGAACTTTCCACGCTACTAGCCTCGTGTATAGGGGTTCAGCCGCTTCAGAGGCATGCGCCGGCAAGTGCCCGAGACGCGGCCGAGAGAGACAACGATGTGTTGATATCTTGGCTGGAGAAGTGGCTAGTAGCGCTGATGCTGCCATGGTGAGAATATCTGTGCCGCTCTTGTGAAGTATCTTGGGCCAAGTGAATCATGGCTTGTTTGAACGATAATGTTTCTAAGAAGAAACAATCTAAGTTGTTGTTGTTGTTGTGGTTCCCCGGTCTCAATTTTACAAGAGACCCCCCTCGCGCAAGTACGACACCACCGACAGGGGGTCGCTCCAGAGCTGTAGGGTNAGATGCGAGTAAGAAAGGCAAGCGCTAACCTGAGCCGGCTTTGGGCAGGAACGGAGCAAGAAGGCAGGGTGGCCCAGTGGTTACAGTTCAGAGTATCGGGATTGGAGCAGAAGGGTGCGAGTTCGATCCCCAGCTCTGTGCGACAGCTTCTGGTTAGAAATATCGGCAAGGTGGCCGGGCGGTCAAGTTCAGCACCATTGTAGGAGTGACTTGCGTGTTCGAGACCGCAACAACATTTGGATGTTCTGTGATGTTTAAAATCGGCGACAGGCCTACAGCCTAATCAACGCTGTCTAACGCTGCCTAATCAACGCTGAATAGAAAGAATATTCTACTTAGAGACGAGTTTACAGTCGCAACCTCTGCTCCAATCATGGCTCTGCTCGCCGACCCTTACCGGGTAATAATTAATAACTATTTAACCTAACATTAATTAATTATTTTTGGAACTACAGAAAAAATTTTCAATATGCGTTTACACAGAATTATAATTACAGAATTCATATCTTGCAATCATATTTTTTCTATATGTAAATCAGATTTCGAAATTTTAGTACTTTAAAATTTTCAGGTAAAAGGAAATTTGCACCCATTCATGCTGTGCTACCCGATATTAGTTTTTGCATTTTCTAGGCAGAAATCGGTCACTCTCCGCCATATTGCACACTAGAAGTCGTCTGCAGCTTCTGTCGCAGTCGTCTTTCAGAACATCGCTCATCTTCACGGCGTATCTATGGTAACAAACATACTTAAGATTTCGATCTGTACAAATACATTAAAGTAAGACTATGAATATTCAATCTCAACTTCAGGGAAAAACTGTTTCAATACACGAAAGAAGATTAAAAAGACAGTTGTCTCAATAAGAGAAAGGACAGATTTAATCTTGATTTTTTCTATCGGAAACCATCATATTTACTGAATTACTGTGCTCCAATAATAAACACGAATACTATGAAATAGAAAAAAATCAAACCTTCAAAGGCAATACAAATTTGAAGTTATCATCAAGGCTTAAGAAATGTTCAATGAATGTGTTATGATTGTTTGACTTCCGCATTAACCAAGTATAATCCGTTTCTTATTTTTATCGACGTCACGCATCAATTGGTCACGTTCAAAATTTCCGGAATTTTATTATTGTGGTACTTTTACTCAAACTCTTGACAGGTTATTTGCAAGCTTTATTGTACTCAAGTAATCTTTTCTGTTACTCGCAAATCGACGACAGGCCTAACTTAGCCAATTCTTCAATGCCGAAGATATATACGAGTACTATATACTATTCAACTATACAATACTACTACTACTCACGCATGGAATTTCCGTGTAAGTTCAGGATCTTTGTTCATCCTGCGGACGAGGTCGTGCCAGTCCGGGGCCTCGAGCGTCCGCAGGCTGAGGTCCCTGCGGGCGCTGTACAGCAGATGCCACGTCACGTCGTCGTGGGCGTTCGCCGCCGTCAGGTTCAGGAAGTAAGTGTCCGAGTCAAGCACCGCCTGAGTCACAATTAAGGCTTGGTTTCAATATGCATGCATGCAATCATCTAAAATAGTTTGAGTTTTTAATTGATTTTTCCATCCACAATATAGCAATTCGACACGCAGTATCGGATACGTGACACGAAAAATTACCACCATGTATGGTACGATTATTAATAAGTTCTGTCATTAAAAAATGGCACCAGGAATGCCCGCCCTCATCCTCTATCGTAGATTAATTGAATTTTTTTAATTTCAACTAGGACAGATAATATGTGTCTATTACACGTCATTTACAGCAATTTTGTCCTTCACTCACTCGGGTTGAGTCAGGATGGTTGCCATCGACGTAGAAGAGAGTGTATGAAGGGTTGAGGCGGTGATAGGGCGTGTTACTGGGGGTGAGGTATTGGACTCCCACGGGACGCTTGGGGTCATTAACGTCATAGTTGAGCAGCACCTCAGTCATGTGACTGTGACCGTAGAACTGGCCTCTGATCGTCCCAGAAAACCTGGGGGCAAAAAATTTACATTCTGCGAACATTTTTTTTTTGATTCGAAATAGGGTGGAAAGTACAACAGAAGCTTCTGCTAAGTTTTCGAAATAGGGTGGATGTACGACAGAAGAATCAGCCAGGTTTCAAAGATGGTTAGAAAATATTTACCTAGAAACGATTCTAGAGAACTGGTGTCGCCACTGCTCGTAGCAGTCGGCGTAGAGCGGGGCTATGTGGGCGACGATGTGAACATACTCCCTCTTGTCCTCCGCCTTCAGTAGTTCACGCACCAGCCAGCGAAGCTCGTTGCCAGGGTCGTTGCTTTTGTACATTACCCACCTAGGGAAACGTGGTTGATTTCTAATTTTTTGGTATAAATTTGTAGATATTAAACTTGAATCTCAATAAAAGGGTAATACATAGACTAAAAATTCCTTAACTATAGGTTTTCTTCTAAGCCTTCGTTTTATGCGTCATTTTAAATAGTTCATGTTATTGCGATAGTTTATAAGTTATTCTTGAGATCCGTAATTGAAAAACTTTCATCGCTTCATATACTTCGGCTTTCCTCTGAAACAATTTGAAACCAATATCAAATCTTATTCGTGAAATGTTTTACAATTGTTCATTTAATTCTCGAATGCATTTATTGTCGTTAATGATAATGTTAAAATTTGTATTACAATTTGTGGAATTCAGACAATTTTTTAAAGTAAACCTAGTCTGAACAAAGCTCGCATATGTTCGCGAGGAAATTCGCTTAAAGATGTTTATATTCAGATTTTTGACGTCACTTTACCAAATATTATTCTGTTAAAATTCAATTTATTTAAATTTAGTTGTGAATAATTAGTATTTTCATGCATAATACCTTTTGCTGGTTTCCGAAACGCTTTTAATGAAGATATGGTGCAATTCTTGAGCACTCTCCTAGCGTGTAAATTCTTTGTTAATTTATTACAATGCAAATAATCAAATGATCCAAATATTTTAAACTTGAATAATGTGTTCTTAACACTAGCTGTAACAAATAATTCGATGGGAAAAAATGTGAATTTCCATCCTTTGAAGACACAATCCACTCACCAGTTGAATTTATAACAGAAATTTGTGTTGAGTGAAATTATCCTGAATCCCGGTTGGATTAGGACAGAATACGATCCTGATATCCTGGCTTCTGTGGAAATGTTGACGTTGGGAAGGAAGCTCTGCCACTGGTCGGTCATCAAGTTGTACAGCCACAAGTTGCTGAATTTCCGGTTGATTGAGGCGTCTTCTGGTGGAGGAAAACTAGAACTTTGATAGTAACGACATTAATAAATAATTGTATTCAGCCTCGTCAATTTTTTTAATGAGGAACTGATAAACGTTAATTAAAAGGTTTTATTTTATAACACTAAAATTATTTCTGTTCCTGTGGATTGTGGAAAATGACTAAATTTTGGAATAAAGTGACATTCATACAATTTACTCACCAAATAGAAGAATGAACTAAGCAATGACACAAAAAATGACTTATCAAGTACCTGTCTCGAGGAAAAGACTCGTGGTTGCCCAGCGCTCCGATGATGGGAGTATCCGGAAAGTATTCTTTGAGAAGCGCTCCTATTCTATTGATCACTTTTGTGTTCTTCTCACGACTCAGTTTCCAGAGGTCGTGCGCGACGCTGTCTCCTGTGTAGATGATGTAGTCGATGTCCTGCTGAGGTGGAGACTACATCAGAACCTTTTTAATTTCACATACATCGTCTTTGGTTACGATAAATTTGGTGCTTGCTAAGGTGTAAGTAACGTGGCCTTGAATGGTTTTCGTTCGTGCGTTAGCGTAAACTGCATAAAAATGTAGCCGATGTGCTAGTGAGAGGAAGGTGACATCAAAACCTTTCAGTTTCTCTCGTCCATCGTCAAGGCCCGTTTACACTAGGGGCGACGATATGGGCGGTGGGCCACGCTTATTTTTGTACGCGGGAGCTCGAGACCGCGCGTTCTGAACATTAGTTGCCAGTTAGACGTCCGTGTGGATGGATGTATCCGATTTTGAGCTCTGTGCATAGTTCTCGGGTGTGCTACTGTCAGTACTGTGAAGAAAAAATGTAGGCGTCGCGGAATTTGGGTGTAAAATGGTTGCAAAAAAGAGAGGGGCTCTCACAATTATATTTTCAAAAAATTATCAGTTGCAAATGCATCAGACTTTCAAAATTACACTAGACTGAAAGTAGACTTGTTTGACAGTCTGCGGAAGAGTAAAGAAAATAATGCCACTCATCCGGAATCAGGGTGATGGAATTCATTTGCAATGGAATTGCGACCGTATAGGTGCTTATACACAGGGCTATTAGTTGCGTATATTGGTTGCGTCTACTAGGCCAGGCTACTAAAATTTGTGATGCTCGACGTGTTCAGAGGCAACTAGCTGGTTCATGTCTCTTATACACATCTAGATGTGTATAAGAGACAGGATCTTTGTTCATCCTGCGGACGAGGTCGTGCCAGTCCGGCGCCTCGAGCGTCCGCAGGCTGAGGTCCCTGCGGGCGCTGTACAGCAGATGCCACGTCACGTCGTCGTGGGCGTTCGCCGCCGTCAGGTTCAGGAAGTAAGTGTTCGAGTCAAGCACCGCCTGAGTATCATGGGTATTAAGTATCAGACTTATGCACCTGAATGCATTTAATCGCACAGTTTTGAGGTTTGAATTAATCTTTACAATCAACAATACCGCGATTCGACTTGGAGCATCGGATACGTAACAAGAACAAATTACCACCAACACGCGATTAATTAGTAAAACCCATGATTAAAAGCATGGAAAATGCATTTTCCGCGCAAATTGGTAACATTTAATCCATTTCAAATGGGACAAACACTATGACAAATGATAAGCCGAAATGACGTTCACTCACTCGTGTCGAGTCAGCATGGTTGCCATCGACATAGAAGAGAGTGTATGAAGGGTTGAGGCGGCGATAGGGCGTGTTGCTGGGGGTGAGGTATTGGACTCNTCAAGAGATGTGTATAAGAGACAGGGGTTGAAGAATGACAAGTTATCCCTTTATTGCTTCTAATAGGGCCATAGACAGTTACCAGTTAAATTGAGTTAATTGCAGATTTAGCAAAATTTGTCTGACTAACTGACATGGCAGTTAATTAGTGGTCCGACAAACACAGCAAACCTGTCGATGTATGGCTGAGTATTGTCTGTATTGAGTAAAGAATGTTACCCTTAAGTCTTAACTAAGGTTACCATGGCACTTTATGGGAACCGTACGATTACGAGTCGAGTTCATTACGTGTTCGGAACGAGTTCAGGCGCCACGGAGCGCATAGGGACGCAGTGTCTAGCTTAGACGGCCAATTAGTAGACAGTGGAGTGAAGTCCTGGTAAGATATTCCTAATAATACTAAAGCTAGTTTTAGATTATCTCTGCCTTTAATAAAATTTTGTGCTACGCCTCCAGGAAATCTTCACAATTGCGCAGTTTCCTGAATTGTTATTAAACGCTTGTATAAGGGGGGAGGTATCGCCTAAAATTTTGGATTTTGGCTTTTCCGGTTAGAAGTCTCATCTTAAAGCTGATATTCTGACCTTTCCAACGGTACCACAACCATCACTGTACGTTGAGTTATGCGTTCACGACATATCGCTAAAGGGTTAGGGGTGGTGGAGTTCTTTAACATTTAAGATAAGGGGAAATTAACTGCCGAACACTTATATAGATTGTCTGCTTCAGCTGCACTTCAGTTACCCGCCTGGCGTCGTATGGGGTGGTGTGCATGCAGTCGTTCCCACCATCCTTGACTGGAATCAAGCTCCAGTAACGTTTAGTTTTGTGTCCTTGCTACATTGAGTGACTATTCCGATGCGCTCGGGACTTTGCCGGGCTGTACTGGAAAATTAACTTATTGTCACTGCAAACCTATCTCTTCCTGCAGTTTTCAAGCTACAGCATTGAAGGATATACCGTTCGATTCGTAAAGACCATACCTATATCGAGCAACAAAGCCTCTTTTTTGCAACACTTCTCTTTAACTTCACTTCTTGTTTGTTTGTCTGTCTGTCTGTCTGCTACAAATCTTATAATCGATATTTAACACACTTCTACCTTTCCAATCGATTTGAAATTTGGCACACTTGCGTAAAGTTGGAGACAATGCATGAATCAATTGACACAATAAATAATTTTATAAATTAAAAATTTTTTTCATTATTAAAAAAAAAATAAAAAATAATTTCGTCTGCTACAAATCTTATAATCCATATGACACAATTTGACCTGTCCTATTGATCTGAAATTTTGCACAATTGCATAAAGTCAGAGACAATGCATGAATCAATTGACAGAATGAATAATTTTGAAAATTTACAAAATTTTGATATCTTAGAAAAATTTTGAATTTTTTTTCAATATTTCATGTGTAACATCCAAGACAATGGATTGTTCAGATGTGTTGTCTTTAAAAAGTAATTTTTAAACGCATATTATTTAGATTTGTGCATACTTTGGATTGAAAATGGGGTAGGGGGGGGGAATCAGAAGAAAATGAGAAGAAAACGGGAAAATGCGTGTAAAAAAACTAAGGCAAAAATAAAAAATCGGGCTGTGATACTCGGTTGGTATGGTCTTTACGAATCGAATGGTATTCTTTCGATGCTGTAGCTTGAAAACTGTAGTAGGAGATAGATTTTTAAAATACCCCCTTTTTCCGTTTTCTATGAATTTCACGTTTTCCATGAATTTTTGCGAAAAAAATCATACCAACAAAATGTGCTTGTATTTCGGTTTTACATATATGTGTGAAGTTTCAGAAAGATCCGTTAGTAAATGTGGAAATTTTTCTGTAGGGAATACCCCCCCTTAACGTTATTTAGAAAGGATACACATGGATATTTCGAGTTCTTTTTTGAAGATCAAACTATTATATTTTTCAACTTAAATTTTGTTGTATTTTAAAATGTTGTTGATATTTCTTTCCAGACTTTTTTTTAAAGGAGAATGATCAAGGCAAGATCGATGAATCTGATTCTGTGATTGAGCTGGAGGCAAATCAAAGTCTGTCCAGTCAACCGATGTCACCAGCTACAGGCTAAAGCTGGTATGGCCTCCTCCAGACCATCATAGAACACAATTTTTGGAAAATAAATAACGTGCTTTTCCATTTTATTTGCCTGTCAAGATTAAGTACCATATTAAACCACAACATGTATTCGTAGCAAAAATCATTTCAATTACCGAGCTCCAATCAAAATAGTAAAAGGATACGTCTCAAGTTATTATATAAATGTATTACGGTAAGACAAAGTTTACACTACATCAATAATTGATTCGTCTCGTTATTTCTCGTTAAAATGGCTATAAATTCCGGGAACTTTTAAGCTACCTAGTTTAACCGGGATGTCTCGTCTCGGTATCGTCCCGGAATTCCTACGGACGGCTGAAAATTGTCCCGGTTTTTATTGCGAACCGGGACAGAGCCTGTTGTCTCGTCTCGGATACAAAAAAAAAATACCAAACGCAGGACCGGCAGGACTTTAGATGACCAAAGCTGACACACAACCACTACCGACTGCAAAGACGACACTGGGACTGGGTAGTGGGTGCCGGGTGGGAGCAATAAAAGCGGAGCATCGCCACTCGCCAGTGTTGCCAGCTTTTTTCTCGGCGAGAATACCAGATTGCCACTCAAAATACCAGAAATATACTGAAAATTTTATTTTTCAAAAACAGACTACTACCTCCAAATTTGATTATACTATTCGTCAGAAACGTTGGTTAAAAAAAAGAAAAGTCATTTTTATCATTTGTACTGTGCATTTATCTGGCTTGATGAACAATTAGCTAAAGTTAACATTTCATATTTTCCCCCTGTTTTGGTCAATCAAAAAAGCAAACTTACATTGACACTTTTTCCTTTTTTTATCACAGTGAACTTTTTTTCCATCACTCAAGATCAGCAAGCCACGGAAAAGGGTCATCTTCTTCTTCCTTGTTTTCGTACATATATTATTACATTCATCTAGCATATTAGGTGTGGTGGCAAAATTGCGGCAACACTTGTTGCGGCTCAGCAAATAGCTTTTGGTCCGAATAATGGACTCTAGAACCTTAGTTGAAATTCTGTTACGTTGCTTGTTTTTCACATAGGTCACTTGTGAGAACACTCGCTCCACGAGTGCAGTGGAGACTGGTAGGCGTAGACAGGTGATGCAATAGTCTGCCAATTCCATGAATGGACAATGACTTTCAAGATCAGTGAAATCTCGAATGGCGCTCCAGAATTCAAGTGATGTCTTTGGAATTGATGAATTCTTGACTAGCGTTGATTCTGCCCAACCAATGTGACTAGTCTTCCGGAGTTCCGGTACTGGTTTTCAATAGCTTGCGTATTTGAACCCATCAGATGGGAAAGCGGCAGCAGACTGAATGGGATTTTCTTCATCTGAGACAAAACTTTGGAGGGTCCAAGGTTAGACACACCACTGAAAATTGCTTTGTTTTCTGGTAGTCGCTTTTCAAGCTCACTGAGATGGTCCAACAGAAATTTCAAACATCGCTTTTTGATGTTCTCAATACATTTTTCAGACGATACCTTCTAATGAATTGGTTACTTTTGCATGAAAGTCTGACCCTCAGCGTTGAACTTGGCACCAAAGTCAACACACAGCATTGACAGCAAAGACAACTGATACCCTCGGCTGTCAAAAACTCTTGACTTCAGGCTTTTGTGATGGAGATGGAGCTCTCTAATAAGTTTTTCAGGATCGACATTGGTCCCTTGAAGAAAGAGCATTCAAGTGCTCCAACTCCTGAAAGGACCTGAACATGGGAGTGAGGAAGGTAATGAAAAGGATGATTCTGTCATCTTTCAGCATGTTAGCAATTGCAGTGATCTTGTACCGTATATTTGCAGGAGCATGGACTTCTGCGCAAGAAAAGAATGCTTTCAGCTCATGCCAGTTGATCAGCAGATTGTACAAACATGTGCCGCGGACCAACCAGTGAGTGGCAGAAAGTTTTTCGAAAGGTGCTGGAGTGCCAGATCTATCACTTTCTGAATTCATTGCTTCGAAGAATTTCAGGTACTCCTCACGTCGCAGACTGCTTCTGGAGAAAAATGACTGTACTTCACTTAGAAGAAATCCAATGCTGGATGGCAAGGTCTCAAAAGCGTGCTGCATAGTCATGTTAAGGGAATGGCAGGTACATCTTATCAACACACAATTTTCCGACTCGGCTCTGACACGTGACCAAACCGAGTTATAAGTGCCGATA